GGTGGTCGGCCTTGCGTTTAGGCAGACCTGCCGCCGGGGCGCCGTAGTAGTTATGCGCAAGCGATCCTGCGGCGCCCCATTAAGGCGGAAGGGAGGGGAATGTCGGGTTTTAGTGGGTAGTACCGGCTCTTCTAGCCGGTGAGCCCCACATCACCACCTGGGGGATCAGGTGGTATGCGTAAATGCATTTCCCGACTTAAAAAAAAAAAAAAAGGTATTTGAAACTTTAACAGTACATTGCGCAATTATTAAAAGATAAACGAAAATAAAAATTCTTTCAAAAACTTTATATTATACTACCAATTTATGAGCTTTATGAGTTTTCACAAAAAAAAAAATTTTATTGCCCTCGAACACGTATAACATCATTGAATTTCATACGAGGAAGCGTTGGTCGTTAATAAAAATTACCCCATTTCTCTGGCATTCAGACTTCACCCGTATAAAACAGTCCACTTATGCATTCTGAGAGGAAGTGAGCAAAAAGTGAATATGAAAAGTAGTACATCCGGGCCGGGCCGGTCCGGACAGGCGTTCGAGTCGGAATTCAAATTAACCACTTCATATTCCGGCTTGTGCACACTGAAACATTTATACGTACCACAGGGGCTGTAGACCGTTAGGTCCTAACGATCCTCGTATGCAGTTGCAAGATAGTACTCTTTTATCTATACAAATATTAAAGAGGTGAAGTTTGTGATATTGTGAGTTTGTGATCTCTAGATCTACTAAACCAATTTAGATGAAATTTGGTAAGAAGATAGTTTGAGACCCTGGGAAGGATATAGGTCCATAAGATACTTTTTATCCCGGAAATTATCCCTTAAGGGGGTAAAAATGGGGATGAAAGTTTGTATGGGGAAGCAACTAAATAATTTACTGATATTAAAAGAATTGTAATTTATATAAATTAAAATTTTCCTTAAAATATCTTTTCACCAAGTTTTATTTAAATAGAATATAGTGTAACAATACCAACGTTCATCATAACCACACGAATTGAACTCATAAAGACGTTGCAATTTGAGAAATAATATAAAGGAAAAATATCACCTCAAAATATCTCTATGGACGCCGAGAACATATTTGAGGGTTTTGATTTGAGGATTGTAGTTTTGAACAATCAAAACAAATTGTATATCGGAAGAGCTCCCAAAAAGTTAGATGTGACAACCCTCCAGTTTAAAGAGTAAATAATATTATAAAAAAATATATACTTATTTTTATAATAATGGTGATATTTTTTATACTTAGTAGATAAGAAAGAGTCAGAATATACTATATAAATATATTTCACAAAGATATTCATATGAAAAACTATAATATATAATAAGAGATTGATTTAATTTTTTTTTTTATTATTTTTAACGACAAACGTTCGCATTTATACTATTGGGGGTAAAATTGTTTTTTTTTTTCATATATTTTTTTCATATATCAATCAATATATTCGTAGATAATATTACAATATGAGTATTTTGTGTCTAAAGACAATATTCAGTTTCAAAGTGTAGCTACAATGTACCTCTACATGCACTACTACGGTATGCACAGAATGCTAGATATAAGACACTGATCTAATACATAGCAGGTATTTAATTACATACGTTTACTTAAGATAAACGCTACATTCTCTGCAGTAGACTAAATCGAATCAATCGATTATCTATATTCAAAGTTACTTGATCGTTTGTGCGTAATAATGGGTCGTCTGTTAATTGTTTCTATCTCATACTACAGTATCTATGATAATAGATATAATATAGACACAGGTGGAGAATGGTCTTGAGGTATTTACATATTATTAAGTTTATGTACTTGTACTTTTATCACATCTTAAAAAAAATACGAAAAAACAAAGAACACTGATTGTAAAATCAAAACTAAATGGATGGAATCAAAATGACGTTACGATATCATTGTCATTCATTCGGAGATATACGTATTTTGTACCTGCTGTGATTTGTGAACGATGCTATATTTTCTTACTCTCCTTTTAGGTTTCGCCGCAGTCGGGTAAGTAATAGTATATAATATCATTCTCACCCGAATCATTCATTTATTTATTCATTATATAGGAAGCTAAATTAGTATACAGAGCTTTTGATCTTTTATACATAATTTCTTATAAAATATTTTTTTACACTATACACCACACTTATAGGCAAACTTAACATGCATAAACAGTTGTTCCGAAACTTATACTAAATATCTATCCTATGAAAAATAAAATAATTAACAAAAGTGTAAAAAGTAAAGTAAAAAAAACAATAAACAATAAAAAAATTAATCCAAATTTACCCGCTAATTAAAGTAAAATGAAACAAACAAAATTTTTTACGGCAGTTTTGGCTTTTTTATTACGTTAATATCCAATAATCATAAGAAAAAGACTTTCATTTCATTTGCCTATTTTTGTATGTTTGTTTGTATTAATGTATGTATAAGTCTCTGTCATAATAATACTTACGAGTAGCTTTAAGTAGTCATTATAGAATTATGTCTATCTGTGTAATAAATTTTATCAAAATCCGTCCAGGCGTTGAGGCGTGAAAACGTGAGCAACATACACGCTTTTGCATATAATCATGTTGAGATATATTATAAAAATGATAATGATGTTATACAATAATTATAATGGTAGCTAAAAAATACAAAACTCCCTTTAGAATGCAGCCGTTCAAAGGCTTTTATCACAGTACATACGTCAATAGCTAAATCTATACATATAATAAAATTATAACTAAGTCGAATCTGTACATTAAATATTTTTTGGAAAATCTAATTGAAATAGACATTATTATCGATACAGCGTTCGAATCTATAGTTTTAAGAATTTTTGTCTGTCTGTCTGTCTGTCTGTCTGTCTGTCTGTCTGTTGCCGCATCACGAGAAAACCACTGGACAGATTTTGATAAAATTTGGTATTATGATAGCTGGTTATCCGGGTCAACATATAGGATACTTTTTACCGCGGAAAAATATCTCATTTCTGAGAAAAAATACAAAAAGTGCATTGTAAGAGTATACTAATATGCAAAACCTAAGAATTTGGCTTTCGGTCATCTGAACGCGGGCGGAGCCGCGAGCAATGCTAGTAATAAAATAGTGTTTTGTCATAAACCCATTTTCTCTCGCAAAAATAGATGTGCAAACGTGAAAAACAAACATTTAAATATTTACTGAATAAAAGCTGCGCAGTTAATAGACGCGTGAAGACTCCAAACAGTTCCACCTTTCATTCTAAAGCCATAAACTTAAATAACGCTTATGCACGTCATAGAAATAGAGCACTGCAACTGCAAGTTAGTAAGGAACGTTGAACAAAAGGTGCCTTTGAAACGGCTGCTCTTTTCTTCACATGGCCTGGTTTGTACAAAAATATACTCTAAAAATAGTAGTAAAAAAGACCATTTTGCTTTAAATTTATATAAATCGTACCTCGCTGTAGTAGAGAGTGAATAATTCTCTTTGGAAATTGTTAATGAACGAAATCATTAGCCTTCAGTAGATAAAATATTTAAGAACTATATTATATAATGATGTAAGATCTCAGCGAAGGTAATAATTGCTTCAACAATAAAGATGGTATTAAAATTTTCAACGACTTATTTAAAAACATTGTAAACAAGAAAAGCTTTTACGAATCCTTATTACTCTATGAAAATGTGTTTATTGGTTTGGTGCTTTGTCTTTTTGTTATCGAATTAATAAAGTTTTTAAAATTTGTAATAATTTTTATAATAATAACAGCTAAAATGAAATAAATAATATTGCTATATTTAATTATAATACGAGTACTTCATTAAAAAAAAATTTAATGTTTAGAAATAAAAATTGACAAATATTGTAAAGTACTTTATTGCCATTTTTGAATTTTTAAAATCATTTTTCAAAAATTGTGGGTAGGCACTGTCTATAACAACTATATAGTTTTTCAGACGTCTAAAACCTTAGTCTCTCCCGCGACCATGATTGCTGTTAAGCATTCGAAACGTCGGGAACCAAAAATCAAAATAAATCCGCGAAATAATACGAAAAGATAGTTTTATTTTATTTAAAATATACATACCTAATCAAATATTTTCGAAGTCGGTGTGCTTTGCTTTGTATCGCTGGCACCTTTTATTCAAAAAAAAAACCAGTAGTATTTTTTTTTAATTTAAGTAGGACCAATCTGAAAGTATACACTTTCAAACGATTTTTTTTTTCGTCCAAATCGGTTAATAAATGACGGAGTTCTGAGGGAACAAACATAAAAAAAATACAGCCGAATTGAGAACCTCCTCCTTTTTGAGGAAGTCGGTTAAAAACCTAGCCATGTGGTTGCTGGTTCCTTTATCAGCATGCGTCGCCTAATCGGTTTGAAATAGAGCAATATAATGTACGGAAAACAGAAACCTACGAACACCAAAGCGAAGCGAGAGTAAGACGAATAAAAATATACATTATTTTCCTCTTTGTAATATATATATATATATATATATATATATATATATATATATATATATATATTATTAATATAGATAGGTAGCAATTGTATACTAATATATTTATACCACTAAATATTTACGAAACTCGGGGGAAAACCCGAGATTTGTATACCTAAGTAATAAATATTATGTAAATATTATATTTTTATATTTTTTTCTACTTTATGCCCATTAAATGTCATACAAAGGATCTTATCAAGTCTACCGAATTTTATTATTATTATGGATGAATGGTAGAAACCTAAATAATGAGTACCTATGTGTATCCAGAATAACTTTTCATAATTTTACTTAAATCCTGAACCCGTGAATAAATAACAAACATATATACACAAATATATAAATGATTTTTCTTGTAAAGAATATTCTAACAGATTTAAGGTTGGGAAAAACTACGATACTCTTCAATTAGCAAGTCTCGCTATAACCATATAAATACATGTGAATAACAAATGATGTAGAGTACAAATAGTTGATTCATTGAGTTACACTGAAAAACAATCTACCATGGAAAACATTGTACGTATTGAGATTTTACTTAATATATATTTTTAATACTCCTTTTTTTATTTTTTATATTAACATATTTGTAATATATTATAGTACATACGTGTGTATATATGTATCTACGTGTATATAGGCACATAAATATTTCTCAATATTTCAAAGTGTATTTTTTTCTATTTAAAATCATTGCTTTAATATTTGCATTAATGTACTATAGTAATTTTTGTTATTTTAAGTCAAAAATATTTCCATTAAATGTAACACTTATTTTTAGCACTCAGCACGGATCGCTACGATTTTGCTCCTGTTTGTCATAATTCTGCAAGAATTTAAATCTACATCATGTGATGGTCAAATAAATCAAAATTCAAGTGTTATCCTGAAAAATCTAACGTACCAGGAGATATATAATAATATTAAAAGTCCTGAAACCAACCATATAAGGCAGAAACGTCAGATAATTTATTATCCTTATGGTACGTTTTTTTTTTAATTCAAAGGTCATAGCGTAAAGTAATTATTGATATTTAAATGAGATAATACTAAATCGGCATTTTCTTAACTACTTAATTCGAAAGGAGAATAGCATTTGGCTGAGACCCCTTTAGCAATTCCGCATGTGGTAGATATATTTAAAGTAACACTATACATATTGTCATTCTTTATATCTATTAATTAATGACCAAGCTATATTAATCTTGAGGTTTGTCACAGGTAACAGAAGATACTGTAATACTAAAATGTATAAAAACAACTTCGCGTTTCTAATTAGAGTAAATCTGAGTAGATAAGCTCATTATAGTGTATATTAAATTCATCTATACATATAATAAAATTGTAACTAAGCCGAATATGTACATAAAATATTTTTTGGAAAATCTTATTGAAATAGACATTATTATAGATACAGAGGTCGAATCTATAGTTTTTAGAATTTATCTGTCTGTCTGTTATCGCATCATGGAAAACCACTGGAGAGATTTTGATGAAATTTGGTATGGTGATAGCTGGTTATCCGGGTCAACATATAGGATACTTTTTACTGCGGGGAATTATTTCATTTCTAAGAAAACTATATTAAACGTTAACACGTAAATAGGGACGAACCCGAGCGGAGCGAGGATGAGTCGCTAGTAAAACATAAAGACGAACCAATTCATGTTCGTGTCTTGCTTTTATATTTATTTTATCCCTTAAATATAAAGAAAGAAAACGGTTTTTTTTTAAATACATTTATATTAATTAAGTAGGTTTATAATTGTAAAATTAACATTCAGGTTTTAGATGTGTAGCTAAATCAATGTTTAGGTAGGTAGGTAGGTACCCTTTTTTAATACCTACTACTCTTCCCAAACATAGATCATCTATTCTTAATCGCTAAAAATATATATAATTAAATTCCCAAGGTGGTTACTATCAACGGCGACCACTCCCTATTATATTTGGAGGTGCTGGTTTGGTCATAGGAAGACCTGGATTTGGATTTGGAAGACCAGGCTTTGGATTTGGACGACCCGGTTTTGGTGGACGAGGGTTTGGCGGTAGAGGATTTGGCGGAAGAGGTTTTGGTGGTTTTGGTGGCCGTGGTCTGGGAGGTGGTGGACGAGGTGGTCGTGGATAAGTTAATGATATTTTTTAAATTATAATATATATTAATTGCTAATGTACAATAATATAACTATTATATTTGAGAAAAAATATGTAATAAAAAATTAAAAGACATACGTGATACGAGTTCCTATGATCCTTAAAATATCTTAAAGCGTATTTAAAATTTTTCATAACATAAGGTAAAATATTTATTTATTTTTACATACTTAAATCATTTCATATTTTATTCGAAAATCCAAATTATAAATAGTTGTCAACTTTATAAAGTTCAAGCATGAACGAATTGTGGCTAATTCGTTCATGGGTTCAAGTTAGTATTTTTTTTAATTAATATTTTTATTTTATTAATACTACGTCGATAAGTAAGTACTACTTATTAATAAAATGTATAAAATTAAAATAATTTTTGAAAAACTATACCTACATCATGTAATTACTAGTAATGTAACAACAGTTACACAGTTATAGAATTCTATAATACCTACCTCTGTATTTTATTAGTCGAGTTACCTTTAGATAATTACAAATTCGCTATTGGCTATTGCACATCTAACAAGAAACAATATGAGCAAAGGGTGGGATAATACACTTTTAAAGTCTTATAAATTAAATTACTCTGCTTTAGACAAAATTTACTTAATGGAAACTTTTAATAATTTCAAATGAAGCATCTCTCATATGAATTTAAAAAAATAAGACAATACAATTCAATTTTCTTGTTAAATACTTCAAACCGTGCAGTTATGCTTAGCTTAGGCTTAGCTTTTCTATATAGTTTGTGGTCTGTGGAAGAGTATAACGCTACATTTACACGCTTGGCAAGTCTTGACAAGCGTGTAAATGTAGCGTAAGACTTTAATTTTAAGTTTTAACCACAAACTCTTCAATCAACATTATTATAATTGTTGATCGAAGCAAAAACTATACTGAAATGCTACCATAAGCACAGAGCAATAGATTAACCATAGTTATATACAGATCCTTGGCTTATTTTTTCTCATTACTTAAAATTATAGCCGATTAGCAGAATTTCACAAAAAAAATTTCAGATAAATAAAAATATATAAACTATAAAAGGTTCCATATTTATTTAAAAACCATGGAACAGCTGTTAATCTGTTATCTGTTCCTTTGTCAAGTGTCAGTTCTCCTGTCTCCAGGAGAACTAAGCTTATTGACATATGATTGACGAATGACGATACATTTGATATCGGAATTCGGAAAGTTGAAGTTTCATATCAAGTTACCAATTTCTATTAAATACTTATGTATTAAGAACAAAGTGTGCTTTTTATTAGTGGACAATTATATATTAAATAACACTTATATTTGAATATTATGAAAGTGTGATTAAAATTAAATTAAATATACTTAAGATGATAACAAAAACTAGTTTTGAAGAACTAAGCACTTGGAAGTTATTGCATTACATGTAACATTTAAACACAAGTTCAAGGAGGCAAATTACCATAATTAAAATAATAAATTACATTTATATTACAACTAGATAGTTACTATGGAAGGCGCATATGACGAAATCATATCGGATAATCCGTTCTTTATAGAATTTAAAAATGAATATTCAAGTTTGTTTCAACACTGTATTTCTCAATCATGGATAATATGTATACCTCGCATTGGAAGCTTAAATACACGCGTATTCACCGTTGAAGATTTTTGTGCTCATGTCTTAGTGCCCAGTGATGAATTACCAGAAACACATTATAGCACTCTCACTGAGAAACAAATTACTGTCGCTAACAAAGTTATTACCTTGGAAGTTACAAAAGGATTACCACTCCAGAGTCATATATTATTTGAAGAAACATTTTATACTGAAGATTTTATTAAATATAAGGTATGGTGTGTTGAGAGTCCTCTAGAACCTAATTCTAATATAGTCGATAATTCTATGACTAAAGATTGCCTACTTTCTATTAATGACTGCATTGATTTACTTTGGACACAAGCTGCAGGACGCCAAGTCTTAGACCAAATAGAGAATAATGTCCAAATGTTTTTAAAGAAATATTCCCCTTTACCTATAGCTATTGCCCCTCTAAAAGAAGCAGTAAGTGAATTATATACTGAGTGCCTTCAAAGCACTTTACAAAGTCGTAGACTTAGAGAAAAATGTAAAGCCTCTAAACATTTACTAGAAAATATTAAATTGTCCGTTGAAAGTTATATGCAACATTTATTATTTGACTCCCTTTTTAAGCCGATTTGTACAATATGTGCCTATGAAGACTCCCACTTAAATAAAAAGATAAGAAATATGTGTGATATTCAACTTAGAGATCTTGATATAAAAAAAGACTTGTACCATGCAGTGCCTAAAGCAAAACAAATATTATCAAAAATTGATACATATGATACTATTCTGGAAAAAGTACTATGTCTTAAGCAAGCATTAAATGCTATTAACAAAATTGACAACAGCAATAATGTTGTTCTTTTAACTGCTGATGATTTATTACCAGTTTTTGTTTTCTTACTCATTAAATCTGGATTGCCAAACTGGTACAGCCAGCTGAAGTATATGAAAGAATTCCGCTTTAGTGGTATTGGCAAAGGGGACAGTGATGAAAGTGCATTTCTTATAACAACTTTAGAAGCTGTTATTGAACACATACAGTCTGGTGCTCTAGCAGGTCCACCAAACCCAGAATCTTATTATTATGAAAGCAATCTTACAGAAGAAAATCTTAATGATAGTATTCAAAGGAAAAGTAGCTTGACTGAGTCCATATCAACAAATGACACAACAGGCAGAGAGGAAACATTAGAATACATTTTTGATCTAATTAAAGCAAGTAATTCAGAACAAGTACAAAAATTATTAGAAAAAAATCAAAAACACATGGACAGTATACAGCAAAATGAAAACACTGCAATAAAATTAGCAGAAAATCAAGATGATGATGACGATGAGGAGGAAGAAGAAAACTATGAAGCAGAAATTTATCAAAGATTATGCCATCCTTTGTGCAATTGTAAAAAATGTTGCTCAAAAATATCTAAGAATCTCTTAAAAACTTCACCAACTGTATCTTCAAGAGACAGCCATGGTTTGACTCCTTTACATGTTGCTTCTATACATGGAAAGGCAAATATAGTGGAAGTTTTAATTGAAATGGGGGCAAGAGTGAACGCAACTGATCTCAATGAGTGCACACCATTGCATTATGCTGCATCTAGAGGACATCAAAATGCTCTGCTATTATTATTACACTCAGGATCCAATATCAATCAAGCAAACATTGACAAAAATACTCCATTGCACTTAGCAGTTAATAATGGTCATATGAATTGTGTTAAAGCATTGATATATTTTGCTGAACATGGTAGAAAAAAACTAAAAATAAATTGTATAAATGAACTTGGAAATACTCCTCTACACTTAGCTTCCAAGTGGGGATATGAAGGCATTGCTAAGTTGCTGATAGAGAATGGTGCTGAACCATCATTGCAAAATCGCAATAACAAAACTGCATTTGACTATGCCCATAATTTAAAGATATTACAGGTCCTCAAATCGAGTATGCCCAATTTATATGAATATATTCATATCACAAGCACAGACGTCAAAACATTAACTTGTAAATCTGATAATCCTGTTAGTTTAAAGTTACAAAATATTAAAACAAAAAATGAATTGAATAATGCAAATAAAACTGTAGAAAATTTAAAAAGGATTGAAAGAATCTTACAAGCAATTTCCTATGGTGATGTTAAACTTGCCTGTTTTTATATGAATATTAATTATGAAAACTATATTAACGCAAACACTATACCTAAAGGAACATCTTGTCATCCCCTTTGTGAATGCCAAATGTGTAAGAAAACTCACACGACAATTTCTGATTATGATGTTAATTTTTCCGATACAAATGGACTGACAGCACTGCATTATGCATCCCGGTATGGATTAGTTGAACTGTGTAAAATTCTCATTTTAAACAAAGCAAACGTAAACTCGTCTAACAAAAAAGGCAAAACACCTTTACATTTGGCAGCTTTGAATAATAAAACTGTAGTTATTAGTTTTCTACTTGACAATGGAGCAAATATAAATGCAATTGACCTATCTGGGAATACGGCATTACATGATGCAAGTGAAGTGGGCAATATTGGAGCGGCAAAAATTTTGTTAAATTATAATCCAAACATTGTATTGTTGAATGGTTCCCAAAAGTCTGCTATAGATGTGGCTAAAGAAAAACTCCATTTAACAATCATAGATTTAATTGAAAAGTATGCAAATAAAATGAAGTAACCAATACATTTAACAAATAAGATATTAGTGATAGTTTTAACAATACTAACTTAAGTACTGTACTTGTAGTAAAAAATAATTTTTTTACTACAAGTACAGTACAGTGCAGCTACATATTGATGTAATGCTCAATAGACTACAGTTGAAAAAACACTTTTTGTATCTTTTAGTAGGTTGATGAGATTATTAGCAACATTCCAAATTGTGCGAAATGTAGAACCTTAAAAGTTATTAAAATAAAACTTGTTAAGTTTAAAAAGTACAATATAATGATTCAGTAAAAAAACTAAACACTCACTGACAAAAATCAATGCATTTTGAATCATTTTTTTTAATTATATTATTTTACTATGTTTAAAAAAAATCTTTGTGTTGATTGGACACATGTACTTTGCTTTTTTATTTTTATATTCTTCTTGCACAAATATTATGTTTATTTTGTTATTATTGTGTGCGTTTTTTGTGCCATATATTACTTCTATATAAGCTTGTTAATGCAAAAATGCTTAAACTTCACACTGAACCATATATGAAATTAATCCAAATTTAAATTCAAATGTGTCTTAAATCACTTTTGCACTAACAGATTTGATAAGACTGACTAAATTGTTACTTTTTGTTTTCTGTATTAACATGCGTGTAACAAACATAATGCCTGAAAAATAAATCTATAATGACTGCATATATGCAATTGTGTATGTTTTATTTTCTATTTATTTCACTTAAATGCGATATTTACAAATTATTATTATAGTTTAGTATAATTCTTTCAAAATAAAGAATCATTTAGGTAATATAATATAACAAAGACTATACTTTGTCTAAATAGTTTTTATATACATTTGCCTCATACATTTATACACAATTAATAAAGTCAAAGGAACAAACAATGTTAGTGAATTTTACATAATTTTACTTAACTTATTAATATTCCTTAAAAACGTCTTAAACACTTATTGTCTTAGAAAAGATGTAAATTGTATATGTATAATGATTATATACAGATGAGGAAAAAAAATTATGCATAATATTATTATTTAAAAATACTGGACGGATTTTGATGTGATTTGTAGATCGATCTCAAGTTGCATTTAATGGCCTTCGTGAGACAAAAATAGACATAGGTCAGAATGTTTTTTGAACATTTCATTGTGGTCAAGTGCTCTTAATTGAAAAAATTACAGCCCTTATTTTGCACAAACATCACATACTTTACTATAAACTATGATTACTTATTATGACTAAAATCTTATACCTAAACTTGTAACTCCAATATCAAAACAAAATATTTCAAAGAAATAAATTTAAATTATTTATTTCAAATATCAATGTATATATATGTATACATTAAAATTACAATAAGTACATATGTACATACATTATTTATATGTTTAATATATCTTTTCGACAGAGCATTTTATTAAAAAACAATTACAAATCGTTTTTCTCTATATTATATCATATGGTATACATAATGAAAATCGAATCCACTACACCCTGTTACCGATTTCAATATGTGGGAATTCTTTATTCATTTACTTTTTAAATTAGTCATTTTTATACTTAAATAAATGTACAAGATTTTTCTTTAATAAATAGGGAATGTACTTTTAACTTTAGTTTATAGTTAATCTTTAACATATTAGTAATAAATAAAACATTATTAGCTTCTTTTTAATGCAACTTTGGCCCCATTTCCAAAAGGCCCTTACTATTCCCAAAGTTACATATGTAAGAAAATGTAAACCACTGGATAAAAAATATTCACTATGTTAAATCTAGTTAATAAATAATTATTATATTAATTTGTTTAATTAAATAATAAATATAAAACATAATATATTAAATTTCATAATTCCAAAAAAATGTCAAATAGTCACAAATTAGACAATCCCCGATACTCGTAGTATGTAATAATAATAAATAATGTTGGGACAATAACACACAGCGCCATCTAGTTCCATGGTAAGCTACGAGGCTTGTATTATGGATACCTGATAGTTGATACACTACACACATATAACTTTAAATACATACACATTATAAATATAAACACGCATGACTGGAGTACAAACATTCGTGCGTCACACAAATGAGTGCGTCCAACGGGACTCGAACCCGCGACCGCTGGCACAACAAGGAGGGTCACTACAAACTGAGCCAAACGTGTCATCAAAAATATAAGTACATGCATAATAATTTACGTACAAAATAAAGTTAATTTGAGACCATCGACAAATTCATTAATATATTAAAATCTCCCTGAATTAAATATGAACTACTGCGGGGGTAAAGTCCAAACAGGCATATCTTCTTTTTTCTTCTCTTTCTTCTTATAAAAATGTTTGTCGCGCATTCTGACGTCATCTGGTCGTATTCTAAAATCAGAACGGCCCTCAGTTCGCCAATCCTCCATTTTTCTTCTCGGAGAACCATTTTTGTAGATTTTTTTAAATTTAGAAGTATCCTCGGTGATGTACAAGTCATTCTCAGGATCGCTTACTGGTAAATCTTCATCAGAATCGGTGCAGTACAACTCGATGACGTCATCTCTATTAAATGTGAAGGACTGTGGGTAGTACACTTGCAAGATGTCCTCATGTCTGTACTGCTGCATTTGAAGCCATACATGCGGCAAAAGGAGAGGGAACCTTCTCAACCAGTACGAGACGAAGCCATCTGGTAATTTACCAAGACTTTCACGAACTTCGATATCCAGTTCCCGATAGTGATGTTTCTACAAATAATTATTAAATTAGTGTTAAAAATCGACTTCTGTCATATTATATTAACAAGCATAGAACATACATACACATGTACTGAAGAAATTAGTCGATCGTAAATTTAGATTAGCCAATTTTCCATTCAAATCAAAAATTTAAATTAATTACTTATTTTAAAAATCAGTGGGCTACTTCAAAATTTTGAGTATGAGTAAGAATTTTTTTTATCGCGCCACCATATAGTCTGTTTTTTAATCTCAGAGACTAAATTGGCACATGCAAATGTCAAATTTACAAATGATGCTGCCAGCTTTTTTGTGCAGTACCTACCATACCGGTTTGTTTAATCGTAACTTTTTATTTTAACAAGATGATTCACTTCAAAGTTTTCTATTCCAAAACGTATCATTAAAATTTATATTATTAAATTTACATTAATTTTGTATTATTACGTTTAAAATAAGTATTGAGTACCTACATATAATTTCAGGATAAGTTATTATAAAAAAATGATACTTGATTTTGTTATCGTTAATTTTCGATAGTGGCATATCACTAATTAAGAATTGCAAAAAACTGGCAAACCACGTAATGTCAGCTTTGTCTCTGAGATTAAAAAACAGACTATAGTATAGATGTCAATATTCGCGTAGTTCTAAGAAAGTATGATACGAGGTAGGGCACCTTGTTGCGTATGGCGCGCAGCAGGTGCGCGACGCTGTCGCCGCGGTAGGTGCGGCGCGCGCGCAGGTCGCCCGCCACGGCGCCGCACACGCGCGCGCGCCAGTCGCCGCGCGTCACGCGCCGCGCGCGCCGCGCCAGCGCCCGCGCCGCCGCCGGCAGGCTCTCCACGTGGTCGCTCACGTCCTGCGACCGGTTGGAATCATTACTAAATATTAGAGATGCGCCGAATATTCTTATTCGGTATGTTCGATGCTAGTATTATGTTAAGATTTTAAAATTAAAAAAAGATTTCACACTAAGAAATACTCAGTATAAGAATACTATGAAACACGCTCTACCTTGCGTAACCATCATTTATTGACTAATTAAAATAACATAAATATTTAAAAAATCAAAATTCCGTTTTTGATTGTACTTAAATCAATATTTGTTTTCCAACAAAGAAAAGTTACTTTTGTACATTTACTGCGCCGCTGTTATTAGAAATACCGACATGTATGTCGGTAAAAATGAATCGAATATTTTGGCCAAATTCGGTACATTTTGGGCCGAATATGCGGCCGAATATTCGTATTCGATTGAACCCATATTCGGCATATCCCTAGTAAATATATTATACTATAACTAATTCTTTTCCTAGAATAAAAGTAGATAGAAATAAGAATAGATTTTTTCTCAGACTTATTTTGATTTAATTTCACTAGCCCTTCATTTGATAGCATTTCTGTTAAAATAAATAGGCGATCATCAACTATACGGAATTTCATACTATGGTAGTACCATTTAGTAACAAAAAACTGTTTCACTGACTCCTTATTACAACAAAACTATCCACACTAATATTATCAATGTGAAAGTAACTATGTCTGTCTATTACATTTTCACGCTTAATCCACTGAACCGATATATATGCTATTGGTATAGAAATAGTTTGAGACCCTGAGAAAGACATAGGATAGTCTTTATCCCGAAAATCACCCAGTAAGGGGGTGGAAGTTTGTATGGAGAATGAATCATTTCTCAAGTAAAGGATACAATTTTTTTTTTACTTACCTACTTTTCTATAAAATCTATCTATTCCATACTAACAGTTAAATAAATAACTTCAACATGACACAGACCTGTAAGAAGTTCAAGATGCTCTGCTTGCCCCAGAACATGGGGCAGCGGAGCACGGAGTCGCAGGGCGGGCGGAGCTGCGCGCGCGCGGATATCATCGCGCGGATCAACATCTTTGTTATCACCAGCTCTTCTTCAGGTAGCTCTTTACTGAGAAAAATATATAAATTTAATTTTTAAATTTGATTTTTAATCTTATATACGTTTTAACAATTAGTATGGATATCCCACAGCCACAAGAACATTTTTCCGGGATAAAAAGTAACCTGTGTGCTATTCCAGACGATAACCTATCTTTATGCCACATTTCATCTAGATTCGTTCAGTCATTGAGTAACAAACATCCATCTATTTAAACTTACGCATTTATAATATTTATGCGATTAATTTTATAAAGAGATGAAGTTTAATAATCTATGAAAATACTGATCAGATTCTAACTGTTGCCCTAACACGAAGCTACGTTACCACAAAGTGCAATAAGATATTTTTTTAAAGAAAAAAAATATTTCAGAAATCATAACTTTAATGGAAGTCGTAAAAACTGCCTAAACGGTTAACATAAAATAATAAAATGTGTAGTAAAAATACACCTAGAGCGAAGCGAGGGTAAGTCGTTAGTATAAAATAAATAGTCGGATTTAAATCATGACTGACTTTCAAATTTACCTAAAATCTTGACCAATCACAAAAAAACTTGTGTAATCACAAAGGCAGTGGTAGCCTAGTGGTAACGCGCTCGCTTTGGAGAGTGCTGAAAAGGTACAAAAAGAGTGAAAGTGAGTTCAAATCCCGGGTCTTGCTCCTTTGATATTTCCATATGCGAATCATTTCCAGCATGATTATCACTTGTCTTACGGTGAAGGAAAACATCGTGAAGAAACTCGCGTGCCTGAGAGAACCTTTGCTAGGTTCTCTGATGTCTGAGAGAACCTAACAAGTTTTCGAAAGATATGAAGACCGCCAACCCGCACTTGGCCAGCCTGGTGGACTATGATCTGACCCACCTCGTATTGAAGGAAGGCCGGTGCCCAGCAGTAGGAATTTAAAAATGGCTGAATACATCTATACATACAATTATAAAGATACTGCTTGAGGCTCTTGGACTATACATTGCCATTACGAGATTATATCCGCTAATTTAGAAAACAATACAACTTACTCTAACTGATCCAAGTTATAATCTCCAGTGAGTATGTTCGCTTGTCGCCGTAAAACATCGCCAAACGGATGGTACCCCTTCGATAGTACGTAGTAGAACACGCAACCCAATGAAAACATGTCGACTGCTGTGGTCTAAAAATATTATATATTTTTAGAAATGGAAAGCAAACGTAAAGTGCATATTATGTTGGTTTTAAAATCTTAGATATATTAATCGTCATACCAAATTTCATCAAAATCCATCTAGTGGTTTTTCCGTGATGCGGTAACAGACAGACAAAAATTCTAAAGACTATAGATTCGACCTCTGTATCAATAATAATGACTATTTCAATAAGAATTTCCAAAAAAATATTTACTGTACAGATTCGGCTTAGTTACAATTTTACTATATTTATAGATTAGGACTATCCACTAACCGTCCTTTCTCCATTAATCATCTCAGGAGCGATCCACCCATCAGTGCCGGTCACACCGGACCGCCTAGAGAAGCTGACTCTGCCTATATTCAACTTCTTGGACAGACCGAAGTCTGATATCATCGCACGCACTTCCCCTGAGCCGGTCGGCATCGAGAGCAACACATTATGAGGCTTTATGTCTCTGTGAACTGGAAAAATAACCAATAATATGTTAAAAGTATTTTCAGGGTGTTTCATATTAGACTTAAAAATAGGGTAAATAGCTTATTTGGTAAAGATTAATATATATTACGATAAGCACTAAATTGGATAAAAAAATGTTTGTAAGAATGTATGAATGTCCCCATAGAAATTATATCTATATTATTGTGGTAAATTTTAACCAATAATATATTAAAATATACAGTTTAATTTATAATACAAACGGTTTCTGTAGGAATTCGGAATAGAGCAAACATGTTTTAAAAAATCTCAATCACTCAATCAAAAATTATTCCCTCCACTACCGCAGACACGCCGGCATTACAGTTAACAATAGATTTCTTAGAAATTTACCTGGAGGTGTCAAAAAGGATAAATTCAAATTAAACAAACCTATATCCATGGAATGTAAATGAGATAAGCCCATAGTAGCTTGTCGTAAAACTTCTACTGCATCTATTTTACAGTCAAAGTTTAGTTTCTTCTCCACATAGTCCTGCAGGGTCGCTGAACAAAGTTCTAGTGCTATGTACCTAGAACACAGTAATAATTATAAAAAAAATATACTTTCTCAGAATTACGCGAATATTTGACATTTTAAATAAAAGTATCATATAGGATTTTTTGCGGATTTGTTTTGATTTTTGGTTTCTGACGTTTCGAATGCTTTACAGCAATCATGGTCACAGGAAAGACTAAAGTTTTAGACATCTGAAAAACTACATAATTATTACAGACAGTGGCTACTCCCAAAATTTGACCATGTGTTTAGGTAATTATTCTAGTTGAAATAAACATACAACAATGTAAATTGAACCTCAAATGCAATTCTTAGTTGTTTTCACAAAAAAAAGATCATGCCTTGAGGACATTTTTTGTCGCTGATCGTGTATCCAGTACTTTTTTGATCGATGGTTGAAACTCCTTTCTTAGTGGACACTTACTCCCTATAAGGAATCCCGTAAGTTTGTAGCATATATTTTCGAGATTTCGTGATTAATAAATTAATGATTGACTCGTATTTCGTTTATATATTTATACACACAGTATATAAATAACAATACATATGTCCCACACACCTGAACTGTTTGTCCCGCTCCGTACAATAGTACCGTACGACGTGCGCGTGCGCGTCCGACTCGCGCAGCAGCGCCACCTCGCGGTCCGCGAACGTGAAGCACTCGGGCAGCAGCCGCTTCACGGCCACCGCTCGCTTGTCGAATGTGCCTCTGGAATACAACGAATATATTAATAGATACGCAGTGGTAGCCCAGTTATAACGCGCTCGCTTGGGCAACCGAGTGAAGCGGGTTCAAATCCCAAGTCTCGCATCTCTGATATTTTCATTTGCGAATCATTTCTAACATGATTACCACTTGCCTTACGGTGAAGAAAAACATCGTGAGGAAACCTGCATGTCTGAGAGAACCTAGCAAGTTTTCGAAAGACATGTGAAGTCCGCCAACACGCACTTGGCCAGCGTGGTGGACTATGGCCTGATCCCCCTCGTATTGAAGGGAGGCCCGTGCCCAGCAGTGGAACATTAAAAAGGGCTGAATACATTAATAGATAGAATGTGTAGGTTTGTATGATTGTATGCATTGAGCAAGTGTGTGTATGTGTGTGCGTGTGAGTGTGTGCGTGTGCGTGTGAGTGTGTGCGTGTGCGTCTATGCATATGTGTGTGCATGTGTGTTTGCATGTATTTGCGCGTGTGCATGCCTATGTGTTTTTTTTTTCTTCACTCTGTAAGGGCTAAAGGGAGGAAAAATTCGAAATGCAATTAGAGCGTATCCCGGAGTAGCGTTTTCTCGCGACTCTGCTCGCGTAGTTTATAAGAATTTTTTAAATTAGACCATCAGATTCAGAACTTCTACAGCTTTATATATCAATATAGATTAAGATATAGGCTAATTTTTATCGACTTATAATTTGACGTTATCGCTTATGACTTACTCCGCGCACGTGGTAGGCCACTTGAGTGGATAGAATGTAGTGATATTATAAATGCTGAATACTTTATACTAACGATTTACCCTCGTTTCGTTCGGGTAACTTCACTTCAACTACACTAGACTAACTATAGCATATATATTACTCCAAGTCATAATCTATCTATGTACTAAATTTTAACCAAAATCATCCAGCTGTTTTAACGTGAAGGAGTAAAAAAAACATGCTTAAACATACACACAAACTTTAGCATTTATATGGATCGGGAAGTAACGTGTGCTTTTTTAATACATTGGATGAAGTTATTCACAAAAACTGACTGAAGGAAGTGTGGATTGTAAACAATGCCTGTTCAATGAAAGGTCGTGTCGATATTATAATAAAATATTTTCTCTCTATCTATCCCCTGTGATGTAGATACGAAAAGAAAACAGTGATTTATATTTTCAGTTCAATTTTCTAAAATATTGATAAGATACGGAGTGGACTGATTTAACCAAGAAGACTTTTACACATAAACTAAACTCCCCCAAACACAGTTAGAAATACAAAACTAAAAACCACAAAGAAAATTAAAAAATCACATCATACCAACTAAGATAACTAGCACTCACCTATACACAAAGGTCCCTTCACAACCCTTCCCAAGAACTTGATCAGTATAGAAACTTATTCTTCCAATACGCACTTCACCTTCGCCTATCTCCATCAAATGACCGGTGACTTCGCCGGATGATGACGTCGATGTGTTGGAACTTCTAGACCCGCCTTGGGAAAGTTGTTGAAATTCTCTAGCCTGGAGAAAAAAGCTAGTGTAATCATACACATTAAGGTTTGCTATTTTTAGAATTGTGTAGTTTTGTATGGCGTGTGGCCATATGGCGTCACGTATTTGCTAACTCAACTGTCTAACATTTTTTTTTATTACAAAGCAACTTAAAAGTTAAAATGTAATTAACCAGTTTTTATTACCAATATAATATTATTCCGGTTTTCAGGGCTAACACAAAGTGTTTTTTTTTTTTGGAAAAATTTGTCTTGGAATTGTTGGCACACACGCTTATACTTATGATTACATTTTAAGAGGAATACATCAACAAATGACGCTTTGCATTTAATCGGCTCAATAAATATTTTTATTTCGATAGTTTGTAAGTGAATTATACAGGATGTGTGGTTTGTCACTTCTTTACGTCCTAAGCGCTCAACTGATTTGAGTGAAATGTGGAATAATAGTTGTTATCTTGAACCGAACATGGCATGGCGTGTAACAGGGGAAAAGTAACATAGTCAATAAAAAACACGGTTCCAGACGTCCGCAAGAACAAAATAATACTCTTTATCCTAAGTTTCACATATGTATAATAAAAAAATATATAAAAATAAATATATAAAAAAAATATTTATCTACTCTAAATTAAAAAAAAACATAGCATATAACTTCGTAAAATTATTATTTTTTTTATTTTTTTTCACAATAAGTATAGTATTATAACTTTCTAACATAATAACTAATCTATTGCGAACGGTAATAAAACCTTTAATTAAGTTTAATTAAGCGTAGAAAAACATTAGTACATAAATAACTCCGTAAAATTATATTTCATGTATTTTACGATAAAAAGTAAATTAAATTAAAATTTTGAAATGTAGGGAAATAATCAGAGCATATTAAGAAATAAAGCCTTAAATGAATTTTTAGTTTTTATTCAAATCCATATCAGTGTTACTTCCGACATAATAAAAAAACAATTCGAAATGACCGCAATTAATCATATTAATATCAACAAATCTATTGAGGTATGCTTGACAACTATCAAATATTAATTATGAAAAGTACACTAATTTCACATTATCACCTGCAGGTAAATTTCAAAGAAATTAATTATTTTCTAAGAAATGTATTGTTAACTGTAACGCCGGCGTGTCCGCGGTCGTGGATGGAATAACTTCAAAAGTAATTAAAAAATTTAAAGAAAAATCTACCTTATTCAATTATTATTTTTAATTTTCAAAGGACACCCCTCAAGATATATGATATAAAATTATTATTAAAAGAATCACGAAAACCGGTTAACCGGTAATGTGTCGTGTAAAAGACACAAAAACGCCCGAAGTGAGTATTTCCCTTATTGGTCGGTTAAAAACTAAAACAATAAATAAAATAAAAAAAAACCAACACACCTGATATCGGAGATACCAAAACAACGTGACGACGAGACCCATCAAGATAATAAGCAAAACTTTCAAAGCCTTATTCTCTTGCTGATGCAACCAAATATACGCTTTTTTGTACCACAAATCTGGTCTGAAGTGAAACTCTTCGAAATCCTCAGTTTGTACCGAAACGGACACTGAACTAGACTTTAAGTTGGTTTCATTCTCACCATCCTTATCAGAATCCGTATGGACTTCCCCATTAATTAATTTAACAGCGTTATTTTGATTCGGGTGATTGTTTATGAACTTGGAATTTGTCAGTTTAGGTATCCATGTTGTCGTCAACTCTGGCACTTTATAATGGCCTAATAGTAAATATGGTGGAGTCACGTGTACATTTATATCGTTTAATTCGTAATAAATGTTCTTGAAAGGTTCGTATGTGATTTTCTCGGCATTTGCCTGATTTTCCGTGACTGGACCTTCTAGAAGTAAGGGTTTGTGACCAGTGGATATTGTTACTGTATTTTTGTCCACGAGTGAAGATAGAGCGTACAGGCCGTGGTTATGCTCTCCAATGTATAATGTTGGACTGCAATAAATATGTTTTTAAATTTGATTTTGAATTTCGAAATTAATTAGTTTAATTTATAAAAGCTATGTATACCTAAGAATATTATTTAAAAAAGGGATAATTTATATACATCTTCTTTTGTAAAGGATTGACTTATAATAATATATTGACATAATATATGTTTACTCCAAATTATAATATAACTTTTGTTACTAAAGCTGCATAACGTAGGTATATTAATAATTTTCATTCATTTTTATGAACATTTTTGTAAATATTTCTAAAGTTTACGTCTTTCTGGACTAACAGTGATCGTCTCATTTCTGTTTAGGCATCATACTTACTGTAGCTCAATATTAGAATTTTTAATTCCCTGCCCATTCCTCAAAGTAGTTGCATCCTCCATGATATGATCTAAAGTGTCATCGCCAATAGAGTTAAATGGCACTGAGATAAGACCTTCGCGATCTAGCAAGTAGGCGGCGACAACCGGCGTCTCTAAGTTATGGGACCATACCAAATCACCAGTTTTACGATCAAATGACATTATACGCCCATTTGATGTTGATGTGAAGTGAATTATGCCTAAAAGCGGAGATTAAATTACAAATGACACATTGAAAACAGCATTTGAGATAAGAGATAAACTCTGCCGTACTATTGTATCGTGTCAAAATACTCAACTCTGTACCTGGTCGTTAGCGCGTAAACATTACGTGCTACATCAAAAATATATATCTACTGGTATACATATAATAATGTAACTGAATCGAATGTGTACATTAAATATTTTTTAGAAAATCTTATTTGAAATAGTCATTATTTTTCGATATAGATGCCGGATCTATAGTTTTAAAAATTTTGTCTGTCTGTCTGGGAACGCATCACGAGAAAACCACTAGACAGATTTTGATAAAATTTGGTATGATGATAGCTGGTTATCCGGATCAACATATAGGATACTTTTTACGGCGGGAAAATATCTCATCTCTGAGAAATCTATAGTGAACGTAAAAACATAAGTAGGGACGAACCTGAGCGTCTTTATATAATAACGATTATAAACTGGTACTGATTTTTAAAGTTTTATTGTAACGTATTTATTAATGAATATTATTCGTGTACAAAAAGTGAACACGACGAAATCACTATTTCTTTTAGTTATGGCAATGTACTCGTTATTCGAGTCATTTCTGCCTTTCTGATTAAAATTATTTAAAATTATTACTACAAATTACGCTTTTCTTTTTACAAAAAGAGACATAAATATATTCATGAACTCTAAAAAGACCTTTTAAATTATTATTTATAGGCAGGTATTTACATTTCCTACGACTAAGCACGATAAGTAAATAACAATTACTTACTAAACTTTAATGTCAATAAATATAAGATCATTATACTTAACTATTTGCACTGTTTGACTGTTATTTTACCAAATTACCAAACTTTAAAAATTCTTTCACTAACTACATAACAGGTTAGTGCTAAGTTCAAAAAGGTAGCGGATTCGATTCCTACACTATACTCGTTATATTATAATGCAATATCAGGTTCATGTTTATCACAGTTTCGTTAAAACAGAACACACAATTCGCATTTGCAGGTCAGTAAGATGAGAGGACCGATATGTTCTCTCGCAAATTGCAAAAAAAATGCTTGAACTCTATAAAAGAATCGATAGAGATGACTGATTAAATAACGTCATTCCAAAAATAGTTTTTTTTTTTATATTTTTAATAGGTAAATTGAATTAAAAATTATATATCCACATACTTTAATGACAGATATTATATTTCAGTAATCAGTAAATCTGTATAAGCCGTTAAGTTAAGCAGATGCAGTTTTTTTTTAAATATATCAAAAGTTATGATTATTCATCCATTACATGAAAATATTACAAACTAAAATGCGATAGAGAAATATTTTAGCTTATAATGGTATTTTAGGGGTATTATTTGAACTCACTAAATCTAAAAATTCATTAAAATCATATAAAGATTTATGTTTATCTATCCATTTACGCATATTTAATATGTAGTTCAGACAGTATAAACTCGTATAGTTAAAATTTAACAGTAATTTTAACTTACCATAATCATTAAGCATTTCTTTGCCCATAGCATGTGAAGTGTAATCAAAAAATGTGACATTCCATTTCTGATTCTCGTTATTGGCGTCGTGCATCAAAATGTTGTACTCAGTGCGCGCGACGTAAACACCACGCTTTTTGTCCGGTGGACACGTGTTTTCGTCATCGCTCTTAAATATTTTAGATGAATCAAAACCTGTGATACAGATAATTTTCTTTAATAAATGTGTTTTGTCGATATCAATTTTTGGATTTTCCGTCTACATTACTGCCTGATAACAATTTAGTTTGAACATGTATAGTTTATCGCTATAATAAAAATATTTAAATTGATTTTTATTAATTTAATATCTAATAATAATTGATAATTCATAATATTTATTATGAAATAAAACAAATTTTATAGGTAATCATAATTAAATCACTAACGATTCGTCAGCCGTCACACATGTAAGCACCTACATATGTACAAATGTCCCAATTTATGGATAACGGTTGCGATAAGGGATTCCAATATTAATAAATATTTATAGACTTATATAATTTTAAATGAGAAATGTTTGTTTTAATATTTTTTATCACTTTGTTAAATTTTACGATTGCATTTAAAAGAAAATCTCGTAATATGTAAGTATAAGTAGACAACAGTAAAAGTTAATGGAGGTCACTGGCAAACACATTGTATCAAGTGCGATAAGAATAAATATTAAATACCATGCATGGATACAATCGATACAAGTACATACCTACTTAATTATATACGGATTCTTTATAGCAATGCCTATAAAATTTTATGCAACATTTGATTGATTTTAAACTCATTATACATACATATGCTTGATAATATTTAGGTATATTATACTAACCTGATATATGTTCCCTCGTACCAGTCAAGGGATCCAATATAAACCAAGTGTCGCTCTTTTTTCCTGTATACAGTATACCTTCAGAGGAACGACACGGCGCATTTGCTACCAACTCTGGTATTGTAAACGGTAGCTTTTTGAGCATCTGCTTGTCCCCCCTAGGACCGTACATATACAAAAATCCATGTCGAGGGTCCGGTAAAAATTGGGGCATAAGATTTGCATGTTGGTTCGGAACTTTTACCACTGGTTCTAGAAAATACGAATAAATAAAAAAAAATATGTTAGTGTTATTATTAAAACATTTGAAAAATCCTTGCCATGAACATATACTTTAGGAATTACCCTAATTATATTTTATCATTATAAATATACATTTTATACTGATATGCACATTACGCAATTTTAGTAGTAATCTTTGAAAAACAAACGGGGTCAAGGTATATACACAATATACTAAATATTTTTCAAAAGTGGTGTTTGTTGGATAGATGCTAATTAATGAAGTATAATCGAAAATAAAATGGTTTTAAAACACATATAATATGCTTACTCTCATCTATTTGCGCACTTTACTTAATGGGTAAACAGATGTCAATGAAACTTTTTTAAAGTATAATTTATATTGTCAACTTTCATTAGATTCGTGGAACTAAATATAATTTAAGCAGCTTCCGGTATCAAACGGAACCCCCGTTTTATGCGAGACCGCTTAGTACGGGATAAGTAGTTAAAATATAAACGGAGATAAAGATGCATCCGAAGCAGACAGAATCACACTAATATTATAAATGAAAAATTTGTGAGTGAATGTGATTTTCTACTTCTTCCTGCTGTTAAGGCTGAACTAATTTCAATAAGATTCGGGATGAAGAGAAGTTTTATTTTCTGGATAGTATGTAAGCTACTTCTTATCGACTTACAACTACTACGCATGCGAAGCCGCGGCCAAACCAACTTTATATATAGTATGTGTATTGAGATTTCAGTCCTTTTTAAGTCCCACTGCTGGGCACGGGTCTCCCTTCAGTACGAGGGTATAAGTGGCCACGCTGAACAAGTGCGGGTTGGCGGACTTCACATGTCTTTTGAAAACTTGCTAAGTTCTTTTAGACATGCAGGTTTCCTCGCGATGTTTTCCTTCACCGTTAAGACAAGTGGTAATCATGTTGAAAATGATTCGCACATGAAAATTACAGAGGTGCGAGACCCGGGATTTGAACCCGCTTTACCACTGGGCTACCACTGCCTTAAATTGTAGTATTGAGTAAAAATCTGTATTGGTTATTTTGTGTAGTAGGTATATTGATAATATTAATTCGTTATTTACGTTGGTCTAGAATCAGATATTTCCACTTGGCCAATGTGCGATGCGTGTGCGATAAGAGTTTAAAATAAAACGCATCACTACAGATATCTCAATAATACCAGGTTAATTCGGAAAGATAAGTTAATCATTTATTATTAAATACCTAATTAGTTTTGTTACATTTAGGATATCGAATTTTAATATTTACATTTTAAGGCAGTAAGCGGGTTCAAATCCCGGGTCTCACACATCTGATATTTTCATGTGCGAATCATTTCCAACATGATTACCACTTGTCTTAACGGTGAAGGAAGACATCGTGAGGAAACCTGCATGACTCAGAAAACGTAGCAAGTTTTCAAAAAACATGTGAAGTCCGCCAACCCGCACTTGGCCAGCGTGGTGGACTATAGCCTGATTCTCCTCGTACTGAAGAGAGGCCCGTGCCCAGCAGTGGGACGTTAAAAAGGGCCAAATACGACGATTTACATTTCCTTTAAAATATACCATCGGCTTTTGTTTTCGAAAAAAATTCTATTATTATGTTGACTCTCGCTTTATATAGGAGAGCATAGAAGTCGAAAAGCTAAGCTGTAGCTTAGGTAAATTAATTAAATTAAATTTTATTAATAAAATTAAATATAAAAACTATTGTTACGCGCCGCGCCGCTAGTTTATTCGAAGTCATCAAATGCCTCGTGAAAATTCTGTAGTGTTCGACTACGCAGGTGCCAGACAGGCAAGAATAGTATGACGAGGAATATACATACATAATATGATTTGACGTTTGGCGCGGGACGTATGATTTTCTCTTGTGCGCATATACTTTTATTAATTACTAGCTATACCCGATTGCGACCACAAACAATGACAAGAGATATGTATTTATATATTAGATTATTGACATTATAGTGATTAATGCAGGAACAGTGTTTCATTGTTTCACGCTATAATATATGAAATGAAAGACAGACTAAAATTCTTAAGTCTCTTGGTTTGGTTTTTGTATGAAATACCCAGCATCAGTGGTGCACATGTCTTTAATATTATATTATATATTATTATATTCTATATATTATTATATAATATAATATTAAAGACATGTGCACCACTGATGCTGAATCTCTGTGATTAGCGATTCACCCTCGCTTCTCTCTTCTAGTTTTTCTTTATATGGATAGGTAAATTTTATTCATATAATATGTTCTCAAATTTTCAATAATAATGCTGGTCCAATTTCGAACACTAGGCAAACCTAGTTAAAATAAAATTACGCTGGTATTGTTTTCAGAATAACCTCATATCAAATTAGACTTTAAATATGTTGTTGGTGAAAAATGTTATGCTCAACTGCTATGCTTAATGGCAATTAACAAGAAAATTAAATACAGCAACTATCCTAACATAATTTTGTTAGTAAAGCAAGCAATCAATTCAATTTGTTAAACTTAAAAATATTAATTTCTTAATAATTGAAATTTTCAAAAAGTTTAACTCATATACTAATTCTTATAATATTATATTATTGTTATTCTATAGTGATTTAATTGTAGTAAATTAATATTGCACAGTGATTGATACTAAATGTAGATACCAATTAATGATATTATCAGATAATAATCCTTTAAGACATGATAGAATGTAAGAATATTAGAAATTAAATTAAAAATCTATCCACAATATATAACTATTTCGGTAGTAAAATTTGTTTTTTGTTATAATGGCTTATAGCGGTAGTAAAATAATAAGTGAGCAAGTTCATTTACATAAGAATTGCATGATAAAAATATATGAATGTAATATATGAATGTAATATATGAATTTACCTTACAAATAATGGCGGCGATTTAGAATTGGGGACTTGGCCCCTAGCGGAGTGGGTGGTATTTCTGGATAAGGGACGTGATAGAGAGTCGAAATGTTAAATAAATTTTTTAATACAACAAAAGAGTCAAAAGTTATTGAGACTTAAAGTTATAACATTTCCATACATTATTTTGACATTACTACCATTTAGACACTTGGAGTCAAAACGTCACTTTCAATTGTCAAAATGATCTCCAGATGATTGTCTTTATTTGTACTTTGCGTGAAATTCGAATTTTCTAGTTTTCTAGTCATTTATGGCACTCGCCGGCCGCTACCGCGGCACGCTCGCTTCGCTCGCTCGGCTCGTGCGTTGTGCCAACTGTTCTAACCTAACCTAACCAAGATATGACGAATAATTAATAAATAATCTTAAATGTTCTAACCTAACCTAACCCAGATATGAGGAATAATAAATAAATAATCTTAAATGTTCTAACCTAACCCAGATATGAGGAATAATAAATAAATAATCTTAAATGTTCTAACCTAACCTAACCCAGATATGACGAATAATAAATAAATAATTAAAAATATTCACAGATAAAAAAATGATTTTTTTTACTAAATGTACAATTGTAAAACAATATATTTTACATAAATCAAATAAAAAGTCATAAATGTATTTATAAAGTGAAAATAATATTTTTCTTTTTATTTATTTATTTATTAATAGTAATATTTTACCAACAGAAAAAGCAAAAATAATCAAATATAATCTGTTGTCATTTAAGCGGTAATATAAAACAAAGTGTCAGTTTTGCTTTTGTCAAAATGTAAGATCATTTTGTTTGTGTTGTGAAATTATTAAAATATTAAATACAATAAAGCATTAATTGTTGTGAAAATGTGTAATGTACATAAAAAAGGATGCGTACTATTCGTTAAAGGTATGTTTATCTGTTGTAATCACTTATTTAGGTAAAGAAATGTATGGAAATGTGTTAGATATGTTATAACTTTAAGTCTCAATAACTTTTTAGTCGTACGTTTCCTCCAAATATTTTTAATATATTTTGACTCTCTGTCACCTCCCCTATCTAAAAATACCACCCACTCCGAATGGTGGTAAAGAAATATATGAAAATGTATGGAAATGTTGTAACTTTAAGTCTCAATAACTTTTGAATCTTTTGTTGTATTAAAAAATTTATTTAACATTTCGAGTCCCTATCACGTCCCTTATCCAGCAATACCACCCACTCCGCTAGGGGCCAAGTCCCCAATTCTGAATTTGTGCCCAAATAATATTAATATATAATTATTTTCTTATTGCTTTTGAACATACTACTTACAAGATTAATAAATATATTTTTAATTTACGCATTCCACAACTATTTCGTAACTAATGATTCTGTTACTACATCTTATATCCAATAATCCTAAGAGGATAACCTCATAAACAACAACTAGAAAACAAAACAGATATAAAGACAAAATATCATTTACCATCTTTTAATTTCCAAATAATATTTCCCGATAAAGGGTCCACAGCAATCATCCCACCCCCTAAAGTAGCAAACAGTAAAGGCCGGTCATCCAATGCTCTCGATAATTCTGTATTCTCCTGTAAAATACACAATATATAAGTCACATTCATTTCACCTTGCACTTTAATATTTAATGTGGGCACAACAAACCACTTCACCTTTCTATCTTTATCCACAAAAGATCCAAGTCCGAAGGACTGTACTACAAACAATATTATAAATAAAAACTTCATTTTTATTACACTCTCATCAATAGTTGTTTATTATCAAAACTATCATTCTGTTTACTATATCAATTTATAACATCATCAGTGAATCTACGATTTTACGAAGAATTGTAGCGAAACAATAATCACAAAAGCACTCCTGTTTCAAATGACATATTCTAGATTATAAAATAAAAAGATGACAATTGACAACGTCAAATTTTTATCGTTCAGAAACTATTACTAAAGGACTAAATTTATCGTAAAATTATTTATAATATTATTATTTTTATTATTTCTTAATGTGTTCATATTTGCATGTTATAAAGATGTTCATTTGTATAGAATATATTATACAATATGAAACTCATGAGACTTCCCAATCTCAACACAGACATTGACAACAGTGTTGGATTTCGTAGTATAATTATACTATTTGTACCATTATTTCATAGCGTGTAGTATGTAGTATCGTATTGCCACTATACTACGTAAAAATACCATAATTTTATCTTTAGGTCGACCGACTTGTATTATTGGTGAGTACTTTTACTTTTTAATATTAACTCTACAATCTTAGGAATTTCTGAACGTACGGCAACACCAAATCAGGCAATGACAAGGTTGGCGGGGATTCCCCATGTGATATTTTACTATTCCATCCGTTCTGACAAGAAGGATTTATAAATAACCGTGAGAGAGACGATATGATGTTCATAGCAATATTTTGATTAAGTATAAAACTTGACAGTGAATTGTTGCAGTATAGATACATTAGTATAAAGTTTTAACTTTTAAACTAGTACAAATTGTAGTGTGTGACGTGTGTACATTATTGTTTCTTACGCTTTGACAATTTTGAGAATAAACTATTTTGTAATCATGAATGAAAGTGAGGGCGAACAAGAGTGTGGTGTTTCGACGCCAAAGAAGAAACGCGTTGAAAGAGGCGATTTAAAAGTGAAGAAAAAACATAGACAACAAAAATACGGAGTCGAATGGGAGAGTGATCCAAAATTTAGTAAGTGGCTTACTCGTGATCCTCAAGATAATTTCAAATCACGATGTAAAGTATGTAATGTTTCAATGATGGCCGCAAAGCTTGTTTTATCGACTCATTCTGAGGGGAAAAACACGAGAAAAAATTATATTCATCATCAAAATTGTATATTGAAAGTAGATTTGTTTAACAAATTCTTTTCCATTGTTTTTTTTTCTCTTTCAATTTTAATACTTATGCAAGTTTATTTCAATTCAATACAAAAACGCCGTAAAACGAAACGTGAAAAACATGAAACGTCAAACGTAGTATAATTTTGGACAAGTAGTATAATTTTATTCTCTATGTACAATATTTTTTGAGGCTCTGGATCCAACCCTGATTGACAATGACACGAGTCAAACTAAACAGTGTCATAAATTACAATTTGCAATACGAACTGTTTCTCGCGTACACAGTCCCGAAAAACATACGGGAAATATAATATCTTTAATAAAATATCTTTCTTGCTAGTATAACTTTACAATAAAATATAAACCCTAGTGAAAATAGTAATGTAGGTCTTGTATTCAAGAAAAATGGAGGTTTCAGGTGCAGGTATGAACATAAACATATTTTATATTAATTATACATTTATTCATAGAAGTAAATAATTTTTATATATTGTGATATTAAATTAATTAATTCGTAGTATATTATTTTTTCGCTTTTAAGTCAATTTTATTTGAGTTCTTATGTTTTATTTCTTAGACAACAAAAGATAATTGCACAAACAAAGTATTTGTAGAGTCATTCGTAGAGTTCTTATTTGATTTCTTTGTTTATACTTCGCAATGAAAAATTTTACCTTGGAAAAAAAACTCTTTTAGGGAAATCTCCAAATACTTCACTATCATTTAGATATAATGCAAATAATGAAGAACTAGAAGAATTATTTCATGAGTGTGATGATGATCGCCCAATACCCCAAGTGGAGCCACAAGTCAGGTGTGAAAGTGCCAGTCCAAAGAAAACTGAGAAAACATCCTCCATAATTGATAAGTATTTTAAGTCTATTCGGAATGAAAAACCCTCAGAAAAAGTAGATGAGGTTAAAACAGATGTTAAATCTGAAGAAAATCGGGCTCCAATTGTACCTAAAGAGGTATCTTCTTCTCCTGTGAAAGATTACTTAAACCGGTTTGGTAAAAGAAGTACATCTGATGTTATACCTGAAGGTAAAGAAGCGAATGAAACATGGAAAATATTCCATGATTTTAAATTCAAGATAGCACAGGCTGTTGAAGACATGAAGACTCGCTCTGTTGAAGGTTGTTCATTGATTTATGACTTTGTATACATTATATTAAAAACAAATATTATTTTTATAAAAGGCTCTATGCATTGTTATTTTTATTAGAAACCAAGGAAAAGACGTTACCAAGGGAAAATTCAACTTCAGATTCCGAAGAGAACTCGGCAATGAAGGACTTAGACCAGCAAAGTATGGGTGACACTGACAATCAGGTATGTAAAATTTCATGATATAGCTGTGTATTTTGAAATAATTTTACTATTTTTAAACATTACCCTTCTTCCTAATGTGAAATTCAAAACAACTTATAAATGAAATAAAAGTATTCAAATATATAAGTAATAAATATAAAACATTCATTTTTTTATTTATTTAAAAAGAATAATTTTGCACTATTAAGCCATCTTTATCAAATAATAAGCTAATTTGAATCCAATCATGTTGCTTGTCTGATCGGATACTAGATATTATGCTTTGGCTTTAATGTTGTATATTCTCAATGTTTTAGTATAAATTAATTAGTTTTTAAAGACATTGACACACATTCTAATGATTCCATTTACTAAGCTCTATAACACTTATGATTAAGTACTATTATGTGTATTGGAACAAGACTTAAAATATTTTGGCTTACATATTAGTCATATTATCATAGTCATATTACACATTATCTATAACAACATTCTCCATTTTAGCGGCATTTGAGATAAATATAAAAAACTTACCTTGTTTTTTAGAAAAGATAATGTTTATTTTTGTAGAACACGTCATCAACACATTATCTACAATATTCTTAATTATAAATATTTACAACAATATCTTTGATTATGAAAATCATATATTTAAAACTAGAGACTTAACCTCGCTTTACTCGGGTGCGGCCATAGGTATGTTTTATTATTTTTGAGCGAAACCCTTATTCTTTTTCTAAAAGTAAGGCTAAGTTCTGCTAACCTTCTAACATCTGCTATCTGCCAGTGAAAGTCCCGTCAAAATCGGTCCTGCCGTTTCGGAGATTAGCCAGAGCAATTAGACAGACAGACAAAAATTTCTAAAATTTTGATTTTCTTATAAGTATCGTATGTAATTCCATATGCATTTAGTAAAAACCTGTGTAAAAATTTTGACATTACAAACAGACACTTCGATTTCATCTGTATAGATTAATAAACAAATTCAATAATCAACATTTAGAAAACCATTAGAGCACATAAAATAGTTATATTATTCATAATATTTATTTGTATATAATTGTCCTTTGAAAATTGCATACTCACTTAACAGCTATTAATTATCTGTGTACCTTTAAAGTTTAAACAAGCAATTTTTGTTTATGTATTTATATCGGTGATCTCTGTGCGGGAAAACGCGTGTTTTCGAGTTCAAGCGTCTTGTACATACATACACGTAAATGTAGAATGACGTAACACCTTCAACTTTTAGAATCGCGATATCTTAGGAATGGTGATTGTTAGGAAAAAAAGTATTACGACTATTTTTAGGGTTCCGTACCCAAAGGATAAACCGGGGCCATATTACTAAGACTCCGCTATCCGTCCGTCTGTCACCAGGCTATATTTCATGAACCGTGATATTTAGACAGTTGAAATTTTCACAGATGATGTATTTCTGTTGCCGCTATAACAAATATTAAAAAACAGAATAAAATAAATATTTAAGGGGGCTCCCATACAATAAACTTGTTTTATTGCTTGTTTTTGCTCGATATTGTCCAGGGCAACAGGTAGACGCTTGAAATATTTACGGAATATTTAGTTATATATTGACTTTAAAAATAAATAATTAAATTAAAATAAAACAAATATTTAAGGGGGGCTCCCATACAACAAACGTGATTTTTTTGCCGTTTTCGTGCGCGAGTCCGACTCGCACTTGGCCGGTTTTACTTTATTTCTACTGATCTACCCAAGGTCTCTACCAAAATTCAGCTCTGTCGGAGTTTTTGTTATTTGAAATGTCTATTTTGACCGGACTATAAATTTAAAGTTACTTTCTTGCATCTAGTTAATCTGTTGAATGTAGTGGATGAAACACTGCATAGGCAATTTTATTTGAACCTTTTGCAAGTCGTCAATCTAGCAGTATAATTATATTTTAAAGAACGTAAAAATTGACTTGAACGATAGCCAAGTCATTGAGATATACCTGTATAGAATAACAGGTACTTTAATCTGGTAGTTCAATGGACAACTGTTTCGATAGTTACAACAAAACGTAATAGCGTCATTGTTGTTACGCTTGCGATTTGCTCTTTATTTTATAAATTTAATAATAATATGGGTTTTTATATGTTATATATATATATGTATATATATATATATATATATATATATATAATCATTGTGAATTTCATTAATTCAGAGAAAAGTTTTCCCAAGCTTTTTGCGATTTCCACCGTTTTTTTTAAATACAACGCACCCGCACCAATCCTATTCTATCTACGTATTTTGGTTTGGATTTTATAAATAAGTGAGTAAAACTAAAATAGTTCTATCTGCTGAAATTTTTAATTTGTAGTTATGACTACTTTATGCAGTATGTATATACATACGAATTAAACAATATGAATGATATGGAAATATGTAAAATGATACTAGCATATTATGCACTCCCTAGGTGTCATCATTGGATAGTAGTATACAGAACTTATCAGACGTAACTCAACCATTAACAGCTAAACCCACTGAGTTTGATTTGAATAAGGAACCTAACACTAAAAATAATTCAGATTCTAGTGATGATACACATAAAAATTTGGGTGAGTGTATATTTTTTTAAATATTTAACAATTACATTTAAAGTTTAAAAATAAATATCTGCTAGTAGATATATATACAACAATATAAGTGAACACTATAATTTTCAACTTTTGTTTTGTTTTTTTATGTTTTCTTTACACTTTGTTCAAAAACTACTGCGCACTAAAATGACACGTTTTCGAGAATGCATGATTTAATGTTATTGAGAAATAGTTGTAATAGAAGACATAGACATAACAAAAATAGCATATAGAAATAGTGTATTTAGGAGATCCTCTGAGCTCTTATTCGTCGTTTAGTTTAATTTTGAATGATGCAATGTTAGGTGTACCTTAAATTAGACTGTGGATTTATTTTCTGCTGTTCTTAGTAGAATGATTATAACGATTGAGGAGCGTCGGAACAAAAACAGATAAATCACATTTGTGTTTTTTGTGGAAAAATGTAAAAATATGGCCAAATTCATGTTTTTTTTTTTAATTTAGAGTGAAACGAAATCTATCAATTTACTGGTTTTAGCTTCTTCACTGTTTGGAAACCTAAATTCTTTAAAAAAAAATATTTTTATTCTGTCGGATTTAGAGCCGATTTATCATTTTTCGACCAGGTTACAACTATAGGGCAAGATATGTACGAGAGGCATCATAATTTTTTTTTGTCAAAATGTGATTTATCGGTTTTTGTTCTGACGCTCCTGAATCTTTCTATTGTATGGAGGTGACGCTGTTTTGATTTTTATTTATTTGAAACCAATATTTTTACATAGATAATTATTTTAGCGCACAGTGAATCTGATTTAACAAGGGAGTTAATACAACAAGACAGTCTAGAAGTTGAATCTGGAATAGAAGCTCTCGAAGATACTATAGACGCTTTCGGGGACGTTAATCAAATAGAGGCAGATGAAAGTAAAACGCCTTTGGACACTGGCGTTACTCAACCGGCCCAATCACCTTCAAACTTCGGACTTCCCCCGAGCAAGAACAATTTACACAAAGACGAGTCTTCGACAAAACCAAAAGCTTACTTCTTTAAGTTTTCAATGTATTTCCTAACAATTTTTCTACTTATAAACTATTTGTTATTTCCAAATTCGAACGCTTGGAATGGTTTTTTGTTGGGTATTTGGTTTTTCTATTTTTCGAGCTGCTTGAAGGAGTGGTTGTTGGATACTTACTTCACTGATGAGCCTAGAAAAGGGTATTTCCAATTGAAACGCAATAATACTCTACCCTTTACATACACTATACCGTCTGTTAAGGAACACAGACCTCTTAAAAAATATGATGTAAGTGAAAGCAGTATTTTTATAACTACAGAGAAGGCCATGTTCTAATGAATTTTCTAATCTGAATTATACTCAAATTTATTTAGTTGAAGAGACAACAATCACACTTCTTTATTAAAGTGATCATACCTACATGAAAATATCATATCATTTACTTTATTATTGTAGAATTTACGAAATTTAACATTATTTACTCTTTGTGTGTAACAAATTCAATCATCCACTTAAACGTACTTTGGCCTACATTTTCCATGTTGGTATAATTTCATAGAGTGAACGAGAGTTTAATTATCTCGCAGCACAATTTTATAAAGTGTTATTGTTGAAAAACAATAAAATGGTATGATTGTATCTTAACAAATAACAACGTTTGAGAATAAAATATTTCGACTGACTTCTAACGGAACTTTAACGGATTTTTGTATTTTTAAGGATTAGACCTGATTAATTTTTGGATTTATTTATGTTTATTGACTCTTCATATAATTGGTCATTTTCTAACTTATACCTGCTACGTACGGTTTAAATTGTTTATATATTTTTAGGGATGGATCAACCATTACAGGTATCCAGATTATGATCCATACACTTATCACATAAACAAGACGACAACTGCTTTTATGAAACTAGAGGGTAAGACATGCTATGGTGTTTTTATTAATCTGATAACTATAAATTAAGTTTATATAACTGCTTCTTCCTTTTTTATCTATATAAGTTATAGAAAATAGAAATGAGATATTGTTAGGCTATCTTTAACGACACGTTTAGCTCAATTTGTAGTGATCCTACTTGCTGTGCCAGCGGTCGCGGGTTCGAGTCCCGCTGGGGGCATTCATTTGTTTGATGACGAATGTTTGTGCTCTAGTCATGGGTATTTATATTTATAATATGTATGTATTTAAAGTTGTATATGTGTAGTGTATCAACTACCTGGTATCCATAACACAAGCCTCGTAGCTTACTATGGAACTAGATGGTGCTGTGTGTAATATCCCAATATACTACTCGCTACGATAATACGACATATGAGAAAATATTAATGACTAGCGACTCACCTCCTTATACAAACTTTCATTCCCATTTTCACTCCTTTAAGGTATGATTTCTGGGATGAAAACTATCCTATGTCCTTTCCTAGGTCTCAAACTATCTTCTTACCAAATTTAATCTGAATCGGTTCAGTAGTTTCGGAGCCTATTCGGTACAAATAAACAAACAAATCTTTCTTGTTAATAATATTAGTATAGATGTAACTTGAAAATTCCCAAACAGGTAGATTCCTCTTATGGAGTAGGTATCCGCTCGGAGAGGATTTTTGAAGATTCCCAAAGGGGTAATAAAGGGATTGGTAATTGGTTTGTCAGGAAATCGTTACCTATGTTACAGTTACAGTGAACAAAATAGAAAATTCTGATTTGTCATTTCCGATTCCGGTTCGTCTGTTTCTGATTAAAAATGACGTCTAAGTATTCTTATTTAAAATAATAGGCAGTAGGTACCTACGCCTAGGAAATATAAAATAGGGGATGATGTGAAACTTAAGAGTGGAGGGAAGGACATAAATAAATGCGCGAGTGGAGTCGCGGGAAAGTCTAGTAAAGTATATCAAAATTATATTGATATCCTAAAATAAATTCATAATGTAACTGTGTGGGCGTGTTGATGGTGTTGGGTAAACGGGCTGTCTATTTAATTTATCATCATATAGATAGAAACGATATACCTACGTAATAAATATATATACATACTTCGTAAATTAATATAGCGAGCTCGCACTAATCGTTTAACCCATTTAGACTTACCGTATCACATGTGATACATCAAAAGTAATAAATTATTCTGAAGCACTCTTAACTTTTATTTGCTCATGTTTAGTCTACAGGTCAAATGCAAGGTACAAGTAACCCAGATAAAATATTTTCATTACTATTACCACTTTTGTAAGTTGCATAAGTATGTGGTTTTGTCAGTGATTGTTTATATTTTTTTCCGAGATGTATTCAAGCAGGTAAATTTAAAATTAAAAAAAAAAATACTATTTTGTCTGTTTATAGAAAGTTTATGTATCATAGAATATGTATAAAGGGATAGAATATCTATTTTTATATGTTTATTTGACTGATAATGTGGCGTATCGCATTCGATACGGTAGGTATACACAACTAATTGTTCTCTTTCTTGTTTTGGGCATTTGTCTTTGAATGATATTATTACGTTGTTAGAGGAGGAAGATGAACAAAATTTACAAAGTAAATGTGACATATGCGAGGTGAGGAATAAAACTGTCATTTTCATTTTATTAATACAGAAATTTAATATATCTATAATTTTCTAGCGATCTTTATTCACAGAGTAGGAATTTTATTAAAATTCCAATGAGTTTCACTTAAGATGATAGCTCAAAGCTCACCTAGAACATATAAGATTCATAAAAGCTATAAGTTTTCTTCTCCATTTTGACATATTATGAGATAATGATAAAATTTTTGGACCTTTTTTTTAATAAAAAATTTTGTAACTTGGCTCTTGGCTCTGGTCTTTTCATCTAAAAAATCCTTTGAAAATACTATTTTTAATGAAAGATATCAAAAAATAATTTTTATTAAATAAAAATGAGAATTTTTATTAGAAATTCTAGGAAAGAAACATAATCAAAAACCTACCTACTTTGTGTTCATTAGAACAGCCATCTAAATAACATGTTTATATTTAAATACTAGTCGTCTACGTAATACAATTAGGATAATATGTAAATATCTAGTATTAAAAAAAAACTAATTTATTTTTCTTATGGTAACGATACATAGTCTATACTAATATTATTTAAAAGAGATAAAGTGTGTGAGTGCGTGAATTTGTGAGTTAATGAGTTTATGACGTTGTAAGGGGTAATCTCTGGATCAACTGAACCGATTTAGATGAAATTTGCTAAGAAGATAGTTTAAGACCCTGGAAAGGACATGGAGTACTTTCATCCCGAAAATCATCTCTTAAATGGGTGAAAATGGGGATGAAAGTTTGTATTGGGAAGCAAGCTAGGGACGAAGCCGAGCGAAATTCGAGTCCCTAATTACCTACATACATGTATTATAAGATAAACGTTTTTACATTATATTTTAAACTCTGAACTGAGCGTTTTATTTTATTTTTATTTAGGTTGCAATCTACGAATTTCGTACACGAGAACGAAAGTGGCGAAACGAGCACTCTGGGATGAAAAAATAGAAAATATTACTTTTTATCAACATCGATTATACAACCTCACTGGAGCTAGGGTTATATTGCTACCTAAAGGACTTGTAAGGAGGCGGTAAGTTTCATTTACAGCATTATATCTACTTTTTTGGATCATATTTATAGTCTATGGATATTATAATAAAATGTTGATTATCTGTGTATATTAAAGATATTTACAAAAAAAATGTCTACGTATTGAGAAATATAAGTATTTTTTTTTTTGGAAGTTTAACGCTGTGTCTACTACCTAGTTTATTTGTGCGAGTAAAGCTCAAAAGCTTTTAATTAAATTGGAGTTCTAATTTCTATAAAATATGAAGCTTTAAGCAGAGTAATATTTTGATGTTTATTTCATACAATCGTCTCACTGACACTAAAGATAGTTTTTTTTTCTTGGTTTAGTTATTTTACATTATAATAAAGTCGCGGAGAGGCCAAAATGTTAATTATTTTATTAAATGTTTTATTATATAATGCGAAAATTTGCATCCCATCTATCTGTCTGTTAACGCATCACATTGAAACGATTAAACTGATTTGAATTATATTTGTCGTGGATGTAAATAATACAACGATACTAATAAGATCCTTAAATGGCGTAATTTAGCAGGGACGTATAGAAAAGTTTTTAACCGGTAAAAAGTTGTCGAGGGAAAAGGGAAATCCCCTCTTGCGGGAATTTTGAACTTGATAAAAATATAACATTAAAATATTACATAAGTAACAATTATTAATCTATAGGTACCTACTAAAATTATAAAGAAGCAGAGTTTGTTTATTTATTTGTTTGAACGCGCTAATCTCAGGAACTACTAATCCTATATGAAAAATTCTTGCATTAGATAGCCCGTTTATTGAGGAAGGCTATAAGGCTATGTATCATCATGCTACTACCCAAGGGAGCGGAGCAGTAGTTATAAATGTCAACAAATCGGGCAGACCATGGGACGGGCATAAACATTAGATTAGAAAATGTTATTGTTCTGATGTTTATAATCTAATGATTATAATCAAACAAATTTAACACGGGTACAACCGCGAGACATAGCTACTTTATTATAAAAATTCTAGAATTTTAATATAAGAATCAGTTTTAAAAACGCTATAATTAATAGGCGACAATAATTATTATTATGAATGTTAGTTTCAACCTCGAATGAGGTCGGTGTTAAGGGCTCTTTGATACTCGTAGACTCAGAGAGAGAGTAAAAATATGCATTTCAAAGTTAAGTACTACATATAAGTGAAGTGGTTTACACAGCAAAATTAGAGAGAGATATTAGTTCTCAAAGTAAGTATAATCTTCTATATAAATGAAAATGTTTTTTTGTTTGTCCTCTATGCGTTCTAAAACCGTTCATCCGTTTTTGATGAAACTTTTGGAGTGTTGTTCATCGTACGCCCGCGAAGGTTCTTGAACTTAAAAAAAGATTTTTCTTTGTTTATTTGTCGTCTAGACTTTCCCACGAAGCCATTCCCGGGACGAGAGTAAGTTCCTAATGCTAAATAAATTCGAACTTATTACTATATAAATAAAAGTATACGTTATATTATGCGCACGTTGAAATGTAGACATTTTTTTATATTATAATTCTAGAGGCTCACTCTCGCTCGGGCTCGTCTCTAGGTACGTTTTAACGGTTAGTATGGAATAGACAGACATATTATATGATATATATCCTATAGCTTCGCTCAATTATCGGGCTATCTAACGCAAAAAGAATTTTTCAAATCGGATTAGTTGTTTCTGAGATTAGCGCGCTTAAACAAACAAACTCTGCCTCTTTATAATATTAATATAGACTATATTAGTATACATCTATACATATAATAAGAGGCCGAATCTATAGTTTTTAGAACTGTCTATCTGTCTGTCTGTTACCGCATCTCGGTAAAACCACTGGAGGGATTTTGAGGAAATTTGGTATGATGGTAGCTGGTTTTCCGGGTCAACATATAGAATACTTTTACCGCAGGAAAATATCTCATTTAAGAGAAAAAATACAAAAACTGCAATGTAAGAGCATACTAATATGTAAAACCTAAGAATTTGGTTTTTGGTCATCTGAACATATATATAAAAAACTAACAAATATCTTAAACAAAAAAGCTTTTAAATAAAAGTATAGATAAACTTAAGTGCTGAACATCTAAGAATGCTGTTTACTCATCCTATGCATTCAAGATGTAAATACTCGTATGTATCTCTTTCTATTCGAAAATACAATTTCTTGATAAGATAATTTATTCTCAAAATATATTTTCTGACGTTAAAAATAAATAACCTTGAACCATTTCAAGATTGACATTTCATTTTGGTTCCTATTTAAATTAAAACTTGTTTAATGGAAATAAAACGTACAAGTTATGTTGAATTAATAATGTAATAATCTTCTATTTATACCTTGATTAGATTTCGTCTATAAAAACGAGTGGGTAGTTTTCTAAAAAGCCAGATAACACAATTTACTTATAAAGAAGAAATCGATAGAAAAAGTCATATACCCATGATATCTTATATTGGGTCAAGTAGATAAACATGTGTTACACACAAGAAAGTTTTTCCAAACTTTTGTAAGATAGGTGCGCTTTGACAATATGGTCAGCGACCTTCCGTAACTGAATGTTTAATGGGGTTAATGACCAAAGGATCGTATAATGATTACGGCTTATGATGATTACTGGCTGATGATGATTACGGCTGATGATGATTACGGATTTACGGCTATTCTTATCATCTGCAAATAGATGAATTTCATTTGCGAAGTCACTAATGAACTTAGTATTACCACGGTAATAATGCATTACATTACCGTGGTATTACACTAATAATAATTGCTGCTTCCGATGTATATAATTGAAGTTAATCGACATTGACCTCCACTTGTAATCGACATAGTCAAAGTATCTAAAATACGATTATTCTGATTGTTCCATTAATGCTTTATACATTTAGTCTGTATCACCATTTAGATACTTTATAATCTAATCTTTGACTGATAAGGATAAAAAACTAATATTTTGTGCGCCATAAGGGTTTGACTGATAATCATAAAATAAATATATACTTCTACGATCGATCTGCGGTCCCTAAGTGACTTTTTTATTTAAAATATTAACTAATGACTTACCCATGCTTCGCTCTGGTGCATTACCGGGTGCTTCTCTAGGCTCCTAACAGTGATGATGATGATGATGTTCTCCTAGCCTATTCCGGCCACGGCGACCAATCTCATTGAGACTAGCCAACTTTACGTGCTCTCCGAGGCACGGGGTTGAAACACCGCCAACTTCCCAACTCCGGGCTGTTACTGAGGCTTACTTATACAGAAACATCCTAACAGTAGCCCACCTCTAGCCTATCAGTTTACTTCATTTATATCTGTCCAGCTGTTTCAGCATTAAGAAGTAACAAAGATACGCACGCAAATTCCCAATTATAATAGTAGTTCGACTAAGATTTATGTTGTTTAGAACAATTTAATTTTGACGACACGTTTGGCTCAGTTTTTAGTGACCCTACTTGCGGTGCCAGCGGTCATGGGTTCGAGACCTTCAATATTGAAGTTCATAATAATCCGAGCCCAATTTTTTTGTCACCAGTCACCACAATAGATAAATTTAAAATATTAATATATTGGATAGCGATTAAATAAATTTCAATAATTAAATTATGAAATAGGTTCGATAAGTCTATTTTCGGTCTCGTGCTAAGTTTAAATAAGGTGGCTAGACAATATGACCTACTTAGATAAATATAAACTTTATATTTGCATGTAGGCAATGGAGCAAGAAATATCCCATTTGTATAATATTAAGTGAAAAAGAAAAGATACAAGTGTTAGAAAAAGAAAATACGTCGAGTGAAAGGAAATCGTCAGAGTCGTTAGAAAGAAAAAGCAAAGAGTTGCCGTTAGAGACTGAGAGTACAGAAACAAATACTAGTCCGGAGAAGAAAAAGAAATTTGTATGGAGGAGACGAGAAAAAAGGTGAGTCTTATAAGATCTTGTAGTTACCTAAGAACATCATCTTGGTTTTTGGGGATAATAATAAACTAATAAGATTTTAAATATCTTTTCGGATTTTTTAACCGACTTCCAAAAACGAGGAGGTTCTCAATTCGTCGGAATCTTTTTTTTATGTATGTTCACCGATTACTCGAAGAATCCTGAACCGATTTGGAAAAAAATTTTATTTAAATATTTTTGACTTACTACTTAGAGACTGCTTAGATTGCTTAATGAGCCATTATTTTTATCATATTTTGTATTTGTCACTCTAATTGTATGTCAATTTTATTTTAAATATTTTACACTAACTATTTTGTTAAATTTTTATTTCTCGTCTTTGCTATAAGAATTATTATTCATATAGGTATTTATTTCAGCGTCACACACAGCGAAGTTGACGCAGGAAAAGAAGGACTACGTCACAGGCTAGTTAGAAAAATCCATAGAGGTACCTACATTGTATAATAATTTATTATTTTCCCTAATAGAATTTTTGTTTTAATCATATTACTTCTTACTAATATTATAAATGTGAAAGTTTAGATGGATGGTTGAATGTTTTTTATTCAATCACGCCAGACCGGCTGAACGGATTTGGATGAAATTTGACACAAATATAGTCTGGACACACGTACATCATCACATAGGCTACTTTTTATTCCGGAAAAATATACAGTTCCCGTAGGATCAATTTGTTTTTGTTTTTCTAGAGGCGAACTCGAGCGAAGCAAGTTTGAGCCGCTAGTAGTATATACTTTTTATTATTTTAGTGTTAATTCACATGCTACTTCTTCGTACTTAATTTCATTCTTGAAGATGATATACGAGTACTTTTTTATCTCGGAAAAAGAAAGGGCCTAATGACCTAAAAATTCTTATTCAGACAAAATTGTTATATAAATTATCATAATTATTACGTAAAACGCGAGTCAATATTTCTATACGTTTCTTATTTTATTAAATACACGTAGAAACCATTTTCAATAGACTATGTCAACAGGGAAATTGTCTTTAATGACAGCAATCAGTGACGATAACGTAATGCAGTCATACGATTGTTACAATGTACTTAGCTTGTTCAAACTTGACCACTGAATTCTTCAGATAAACCATTTTGTTTGATAAGTATCACTCATTGAATAAGTATTTCATCTTATCGGGACTTCACCGTTCTTCAAACACAAACACTTGCTGACAAACATGTATGGAAGATTCTAAACTTGCCCATATGTGTAAATACCATGATGATTTTGTAGCGCACTATATTTTAGCGAGAACTCCTGAGAGATTAAATAAATGATGTAATTGGCAAATATACCATAAAGTTACTTAACGTACTAAACTTAATATTTACTGAAATAATTTTATATTAATAAGTGTATGTACATATAAATAAGACGCAAAAACCTAATTAAAAATATATAAGTGCATTTACATACATACAGACAAAACTAGCAACTTTGTTTTATACTATTCAATTAAATCTCCAGTAAGTAAGTGAGTAAGGAAACAATATATGCACGTTTTCGTAGGTACCTTTTTTCTTTTCCGTGTCGCCGCACCGGTCCTATCGCAGAACTAGTATATGTGGAAAAATGGCTTCAGCTTATGAAGGCGGTAGTTACGAATTCGATTTCCGCATAAGACGAATGCTTTATTATTGACACATGAATTGCTATCGTCTATAATTTATACAGATGATTATTCTGGTTCAGATAATGCATTAACTCGTTAAAGTTGCCATTTTTTCGCGTATGTGACGCGGTAGAATGACGTCATCAATCACATTGCACCATAATTACATGAATTGTCAATATGGAACAATGCAATTTTAATTAAATTATCATTAGTCCAAAATTTCGTAGTCTACTAAATTTACAATAGTCGATCAATGATTTTGTCGTTGGATTGTAATTGAATTGTAATATAAAGGATATCGGTATTGCCATTAGCTCAAAAAGCGTTCGCCGAAATGAGTTAGGCTAGGTTAGATTATATATGAATCGAGGGCATCCCGATTTAGGCGAGGATGGCCCGCGAGGTACGGGCCGACCGCAGGGGTGTTGTAGTGAATGCGCAAGCGATCCTGCAACTCCCCATTGCACTGCGGCGACGGGTTCCGCTGTGGGTTTTAGTGAGTGGGAGTCTCACAGTACCTTGTCCGTTATGACGGTGGGCAGGGTCCCCATGATGGGTTTCCCCAGCGTCAACAAAAAAAAAAGGTTCGATTATATATGTCATCAATTTATGTTTTAAAGACTAAGCATTATATAAAATGATCATAAAAAGCCAAAAAGATAAAGATAAATATTAACAGACTACGCAATACATTCGATCATTGACTTGTCATTATGTATGGCACTACCACTTATTTGCAAATGTGTCATTGGAGTGTCAGTGACACACCATCGGAAAACCATTGATTTAGTAGACTACCAAAATTGCAAAAAGTACGATGTTATTGATAGACAACTGTGACACCAATGCAATAGCAGACTTGAGGCCCAAAGCTATTGATAATAATTTAAAAAAGTATTTGGCCATTAGTATTTTATAGATATTTGTACATATTATGTAAATTTCTTTAATAGTTCCCCATGTTCTATGTTTTTATAAACGATTACATTTGCCGAACAATAAAAAAACTGCTTGACTATTATATGCAAATACGGAAGCTTCTTTTCAACTGGATCTTTCATACTCAATCTAAATATTTTTCTATGTACCTGTACGTGTTTTGTAGGGACTACGTATTAGCGGCATGAGATATTTAGTATATTGGAAGGAATCATTGTACCCAGCACTCTCTTTCTCTATGGACTTTGCAAAGGGATCTTTGAAGGCGATCACAGTATCAAATCGCTTTCAAATAATCATTAGATTTGCCGGACATCATACCTAATATAATATTTTGTATGATTTGATGTAACCCGTTATCTATACATATATATTAAACAAAGTCGGGCTTAACACTTTTAACTCGAGAAAGGTTGGACCGATTTTTATGATTTTTGTCTTGTTGGATTTGGCTTCACCCTGAATAGCAGAATAACTATTAAAACATCTTAAAAATTCAGGAAAAAAAAAATTGTGAGTCGCTAGTTAGTAATTTGAATTAAACACATTTCAGCCTTCTTTAAAGTAAAGCTAATGCAAAATAATTACCATATATTTTATAGATAAGAAAGCAGACAGTACGTCGGCTTGTACGGAAACTGAAAGCCAAGGACAAGTGGACAAAAATATTCAGTTAGAGGATTCTTTCGATGCTGATATGGATGTTTCCAAATCAGTGACAAGCGCCAAAGAAGATGACGACGAGTTAGATGATAGCGAACTGTGTAGGATAAAGGAGTTTCTAGAAGAAACTGTAAGTAAATTTATCAATATTAATATTACATATAGATATTATAATTGTATTTGTTCTAAATATACAAATTACGCTATACGTATAAAAATTAGTTTTATGTATTTTGTTCTTCTCGAATGCCAGTCTAAGTCTTTCATCCAATTAAGGGATAATATAAATATTTTAATCCTTGTCAAAAGTGTTCGTTAATTAAAGCGTAACGCGGGCATTACTGCTAGTCTATATATATTATAATAAAATTGTAACTAAGCCGAGTGTGTACATTAAATATTTTTTGGAAAATCTTATTGAAATAAACAATATTATCGATACAGAGGCCGAATCTATAGCTTTTAGAATTTTTGTCTGTCTGTCAGTTACCGCATTACGAGAAAACCACGGGACAGATTTCGATGACATTTGGTATGATGATAGCTGGTTCGCCGGGTCAACATATAGGATACGTTTTACCGCGGGAAAATATCTCATTTTTGAGAAAAAATACAAAAACTGCATTGTATCTATCTACTAATATGTAAAACCTAAGAATCTGGTTTTTGGTCATCTGAACGCGGGCGGAGCCGCGAGCAATGCTAATAATATAATAAAACTAAACTATTGAGGTCTATACACACCACTTTGTTCTAACGACGCCTATCTGCCGTATTACTTAAAAATGCAGATTATGTAAAAAAATTGCGATACGTTTGTAGCTCATACCGAAACAAATATATGAAGAAAATCGTATGATGAAAGTCGTTGTACGCATAGTTTCTAATGGAAATTAAAGTAAGAATTTTTAATGATATGTTTCGAGTTATTTCCAGATATAATTTTTATGATAAATTGAACGCTTTTAGCTAAGTCTAGATTTTTCATTGGTATTGATAAAGTCTTAATTTGATTGTTTTGTTGTATTGTAGTTGGATTGTTAAATCGTTATATTATTGTGAAATAATTGAAACATAATTGTTTTTTAATATATTTATATACCTCTAATCGATACATACATATTATATATATATATATATATATATATATATATATATATATATATATATATATAATTGAACACGTTATGTTTATTGTTTAATGTTTAAGAAAATACGTTTTAGATTAAGTTTTATTGATAAGAAATTTTGTTTTTGAAATGTTTAATTTAAAGCCTAAATTTATTTTCTTCACATTAGATTTTTATTTCAATTAGCTTTAAAATAACCTTCTACTTTTTTTACATATATAGTTTTATTAGCAACTACAGTTATTTAATTTATTCAAAACAGTAAATATTTTTTTGAAACTCTCAATTGTACATATATTTTTACAAAAGATTTTTATTTATCCCCAACATTCTAATGGTGCTTAAATGATAGACTATGTTCGATTACATCAAAACACTATAATGAGCCCATGAGCTTTATCAAAGAGATTCTGCGAAAAACTGAAAAACGAAAAATACTTTTAAACAAAAAAAAACTTTGTATTATATACACGAAGCATAACAAAAAATTATATAGACGCCAAAATCGTGCCCGCCAAAAAAAACGTCAAAATCAAAAATAGTAGCGTGATTTGCCGTTTCTGCTACAATTTTCGGTTTTACCATACATATTGTTTTCTTTAAAGAATAAGAGATTTTTTTATAGGTTATTAATTTATAATTTTTGAGAAGCAAATAAAAATAATCTTTCCTCTTCCCCTTCAAAGAGAAATATCATAATATTAGTATATATTAAATTTTGCTTTATTATAATAAAATTCCTTCGGTATTTTTATTTATTTATATTATTTATTGACTCATCACAGTATTCTATTAATATTTGTATAATATTTAATAAGACATTAGCCAATTTGGATCATGTTTAATCCTATAATACTCTGTATAATTATTCCTTGGTCTGAGTGGAAAATGTAGTGTATTACTTTAATAACAAGCGGCAAGCCCTTCACCTCGCTTTAAATATCTCAATGATTTATTATATTACTATATTTATACGCGTACATATCGTCCTTTGCTGCTGGAACTCGTAATTCAATCATGCGTTTTACTTCACAATATCTCGAAAAGAAGTATAATAATATGTTCTTAGAGGGCTTGACAAGCACTTTCATAAATTACATTTTAACTTAGACTAATTCAGTTTAATTCTTTATTATTTATACACAATCAACGACAAGAAATGTCCTCACCGAATGGGCGCTCATTTGAGCGCGCTTTTTTTGTGAAAACAACTTTAAGCATTGCATTTAAAGTTCAATTTACATTGTTATTCAATTAAAATAAATTAACTACCTAAACACAATTGGTGACAGTTTTAAGAGAACTTTTGCATGGGATTGTGTATCTAGTACTTTTCTGATCGATGTGTGGCTTTTAGCCTTTCGGCGTGCCAGTTGGGCACAGATTACTTAACCAATGTCGTGTAGAAGGGAGAAGGCAAAAATAGCAGCGTGGTTTGTTGTTTGTTACTATTCTCGATTTTGCCATAAAGATTGTTTATTTTTTTTAAATAATAAGGTACGTTTCATATACATAATGTATTATTTAAAATAATAAACAATTTTCTAAAATATAATATACGAGTAATTAAAAAGATATTATTTTCTTTTGTATTTTTAAGAAATAGCTTAATGAGCCTTTTTTTTTTTCTTTATCATAACAAAATCTGTTAGCTATTTTTATTCATTAACATTTATTTACTTATCACTAAGTATGCAAATTGTCGTTTGTGTACTATTTTAAAAAAAAATTATTTGGCTTCATGTTTAGTTCAATGACACTGTCTGTATTTTAACTAAATGTCTGTACTCCACCCAAAAGACGACACAATCGACTCATAAGCATTGAGTAAAGTACTCAAAACCTAACAGATTACTTTGTTTAAAACCTAATTGGTACAAATTTTTGTTGAAATAAATAGTAGACCTACTTGAAGTCTTGGTGGCGTGACGCAATGAAATAAAACATAGGTAAAATATTTTAACCGTTAAAACTGTTTAAGCTATAAGCTACGCACGAAACTTGCAATGGTTAGTATGTAAATGTATACAGCGATAATACGTACATGAATGTATGCATGTACCGTACGTAATAATAATAATTTAAACACATTTAATTGATAAAATTTTGTCTTATTTACGCATATTAATCAAAATTTATTATAATCTGTAAAACGTTTTTAAAAGTCAATCTATTTAAAGTTCTGTTTTAGTGAGAAACAACGCACCCATTCCCATAGATACATATTTTGTGTGTATATAATCAAACTAGCGACGCTCAGGTCCCTAGTAACTTAGCTGTAGCCTATATTACGATATAAAATATTAGTCCAAATACAATGTACATATCATTAATCATTAATTCATGATATTAAATAATATATTACTATAATATAGAGAAATATTAACTCAGAAGCGGGCTATATATAGGTATATCTATAAAATTATGTCAATAAAATAAATAAAACTGGATTATATTTAAAAGAGTAATCGTTGAGTTTCTCGCCGGCTCATCTCAGCAGAACTGCTTTCCGACCCGACGATTCAGAAGTGATTGTAATAAGTCTAATCTATACCTACTAGTATTATAAAGAGCAAAGAATTATTGTTGTATGTTTGTTTGTACTGAATAGGCTCCGAAACTACTGAACCGATTGACTAGATGAAATTTGATAAGAAGATAGTTTAAGACCCTGGGAAGTACATACGATAGTTTTTATGGCAGAAATCATCCCTTAAGGGGGTAAAAATGGGGATGAAAGTTTGTATGGGGAAGCCACCTGGGGACGAACCCGAGCGAAGCGAGAGTGAGTCGCTAGTTGAAAATAAAGTTTATTTTCATAATATTTTTCATTTTAAGGAGTTAGATGCCGGCGCAGAGGGCGCGTCGGAGGGCGAGTGGAGTGTGCACGTGAAGCAGTCCTGCGACAAGCACTCGCACCTGTATCTGTTCGCGCGCACCGGCAGGGACAAACACGAATGGTATGTGTATTGTGTATACAACTTGTTTTTGCCCACAACTCCGCTTACGTACGAGATTTACATTTACGTACAACATTTACTATAGATACCTAATCAAATATTTTCGAAGTCGGTGCCAGCCGATACAAATCAAAGCATTAATCTATAGTAAATGAAAACTACCAATCTTTTTTTTATTAATTTTTTTAAAGTTTTTATTGCGTATATTCCTAAATAAATAGCCTAAAATGAAAAAAAAATCATTCAAACAAACATAGCATAACAATAAATAACATAAAAACTCGTTAGCTTTTTTATATTAGTATAGAAGTATCGATTCTTTGATATCCTTTTCTGTTCATATGGGAGTGGTAGCCATTGGTAACACACTCGCTAGGTAAGTCGACTGTAACGTGTTGGGGTGTATGGGTTGATGAAAGGGGTTAGTATTTCTGTTAATATTTTGTTACATTGCGTTATGATACTTTTGAAATATGTACTTAAAAATGAACACTTTAATATAATTAGTAAATCAAGTTATGCAATTTTTAGTGATTATTACCTATATAATATTTTGGCTCTATATAATTTTTACTTTTAGGTGTTGAATGTGACAATTATAAGTCATGTACCGATAAAATTATATTAAGAATAATACCTTCTCGACTTATCATATTAATAGGTATACTTTACAAATATGATGAATTTATTTTTTATAATTATCAAGTATATCAACGAGTTTCGTATAATAATTCGTCCACTTAAAAGGTTGCCTATAACAAATCCCTCTTGGGATATTAGGTATATGCAATAAATTAACACAACGGATAGTACAATATGTTTTTTTTTCTTCAAATGTAAAGTATATGGAACTTTCCACGCCAAATCGGACGGACGGTTTCAAAATTTTTTATTTTTGATTTTCTTAATAATTTGGTATTTTTAGTACCTCTCAAAAGAGGTTTTCTGGTAAGTTTTGAGATTTTTTTATCACTGGTTCAAAACCGCTCATATGCTTATAACTTAATATTGGTCGAAATTCAACTTTTTTTTCAAAATTTTAGTTTTTAGAAAAAAAACAAAATAGTAAAAAATAAATAATAAACATTTTTAAAACCGTCCGATTTGACGTGGAATGCCCATATATATATATATATATATATATAGCTCTTTGATATTACCATATAACAATATTCGCAGGTACCGTCGCTTCATGATAGCGATATCAGAAGCGAACGCGTCGGTGGAGAGCTCGGGCGCGGAGGACAGGCCGGCCAGCGACACGGAAACCAAGGACGGCATCGAGCTCGCCGTATACAAGCTCACCGAGAAGGAGAACGTCGCGTTTGGCAAGGTATTATAATATATATATATGTAATATTCTCCTTTTTTTAACACCATCTTAATGGGGAGGCAATGGTAGCCCAGTGGTAACGCGCATTCTCTCATACTTCGGTGGAACGATAACTCGTGGACAACCATCGTCCTATCGAAATATGGGAGTGGACGTGAACGAAATAGAGGAATGTAGTGCAGTTAAGATTTGGAAGAATAGGGAATATGGGTGATTTTTTTTTAATTTTTTATACAATAGCAAAAAAAAGTAACCAGCTCCAAAAAAACTAAAATTAAGTATAAAAAAATAGTAAAGCTATCATACATTAAATACCCGCCATTTTAAAGAATTACGTAGAAAAGAACATAAGATTACACGGAAAAATGACGACTTTAGTTTCTAGCGGCGAAATCGCTAATCGCTCTGTTATGATAATACTTTGACGTCATACTCGGTCTGACCAATGGCATTGCGTTTCAACTGCTTTGAATTTCCTATGTATATATGCATTTTTTTAATAATTATAATTTTTTTAATCAAAAATTTAAAAAAATAAAGATTTTAAAAAAATCACCTTAATTTAAATCACACGTCCCTATTATTAGTTCATTCAAATTAACTTTTTTTTCAGAGTAAATCGACCGAAGCGTCGACGGAAGGCACGACGATGCCGTCGCCCTCTCACCCCGTGCCTTCCAGCTTCGAATCCTACGAGAAGTCATTTTGGCCGTATTTAAATAAAATTATACAGGTATGTATATAGGAAAACACGATGTTATATTACGAAGAACGACATGAATTTCTTATTAAAATTACAGGATAAAGCTTAAGTGGTAATATCTGACATACTTTTATCCGCGATTCCTCTTCCATTATTTACAATAAAAAAATACTTTCATCCACATGCTCTAAACGGGAATGTACCTCAAAAAGGTTATTAAAAGCCACTCTTTACTTCACAAACCATTGTCTCTCCTATAATAATAAGTGTTCTGAAAGAGCTGCTGCAAAAGCTGATCTTATTTTAAAGTGAAATATATGTAGGTTAATAGCCCCTGACACGTCAAAGTTACACAAATTCGGCTTTTCCGCTAAAATACTCGATACACTAATTTAGATCCATTACCTGTATTATTTTGAATTAACAGTATCACTAAGAAAACAAAATTAAAATAATTTAAGGTTAGTTATAAACATATATAGTCTGGGTTAGATGTGAAAAATATGATCGGAAACCTTTTAATGCTTTCATTCATTATACACTTATGCAAGGAAGATCAACCCATCGATATGGTAGCCATATTAGTGAACGTAAAGTTAATATGTTAATAATAATAATTAAAATAATAATATTAAATCTGTAAATAACAGAGTCACGAAGTGGTATCGAAAAGTAAAATGGATGCCGGCGTGTTGTGTCAGATAGAGCCTTCGCCGCGTGACCGCACTAAGAGCAAAAAGAAGAAAAGAAACGATGTTCGATATATATTTATTATTATTACACTATCATCGCATATTAACATTTGTTATTTGTGTGGAATGAATTACTAATTATTCTTCATATTGTAATATTTTTTAGATTTTTAGATTCATATGTAGTAAGATATGTAGTATCATATTTATAAATGTAACAGTATTGAAACCTTTAAATAGTTATATTAAAATAGCAGTTTCGATATTTGTAGTGTTTGATGGGAATATTTATACTACGTCAACTCGCATATCTGCCTATTTGTTCGAGCTTATTTTTTTCGAATCTATTGATCCGGATTGTTACAATTATGGTACGTACTAAGATGCTGCGGATTTATATGTGCGGATAGGAAAAAGAAATAGGGATAGGAATAAGGAGTATTATTTGTTAATTTTCTTTTTTTTAATTTATTTCTTAATTTTTTTTTGATTTTTTTAATTTTGACTTTATTTCAATCAACAATGAAAATTTACGAAAAGCTAGGCCGCTATGAATTATACTAATAACTATTGTCCACCATAGAATAAGTCAAAATTATGGAAGAGCTTCAGTTTCTCCAAGTAAGAACGCAAAAGATGGGCATTAAATTGAAAAATCACAGTCATAATGTAATAGGCCTCTAAATATAACCAGAGTGGCGGCGCTGCGGCGGGCGGCGCGGCGTGCGAGTGCCGCGCGCTGCCCGCCGACGTGGCGTGGGCCAACACGCTGCTGGCGCGCCTCATGTACGACGTGATGCGCGACCCGCTCATGCTGGCGCGCGTGCAGGCGCGCATACAGCGCAAGCTCAACACGCTCAAGGTGACTGTCCGCATTGTTGTACGCTTAGTGTATAGTGTAGGTGGTTTTCTTTACTGATTTATTTCACATTTTCATATTTTTTTTCAATGTAGTGTTTATATGAATGTAGTGTTTAAAATTATTTATTAAACTGTAGTTGTAAGATATTATTTTTTTTTTGCAATGTTTTACGAAACTTTATAGGTGGATATAAGTCGTTCTTTTTTAATGTCGATATTATATATTTTTTTGTCTTGCCATATACCATTTTTGTCTGTCGGTTTGTCATTCTAATTCGACTCGTATCGATTATTATCACTACTGAGTGATTTCTCTTTGTTTAAGTCACAACTACTGATTAATCTTTCAATCTTTCTTTATATAATCTTGTTATCATATCAATAATAATTAAAATTTTAAACTTATTATACCTTAACTAATACACAGGGCTCGGAACCGGATTAAAAAGACACGCTTTATTTCGGTAATGTAATGGTTAATTCATCGCTCGTTCTTTAACCGGTTAATGAAAACTATTTAGTAAACCGAAATAATAATGTTTAACGGTTATTCTTATAGAACGGTTCGATTTCGGTTTTGATACCGAAATATGCCGGTTAATTCATTCATAAGTAAGAAACGTACATGCATTCTTTTACTAAGCCATTCACTATTAGCAATGACGCGCCAAATGTAAACGTACAAATACTCATTTTAACCGGTTAATTTTGATCATGGGACTTAAATTCCTTAAAAACCTTTTTCCCGGATTTAACCGGTTATAGAACGTAACCGAAACCTTAAATCGAAAAGCCTTTTGGTTTGGGGTCAATGACATTGAACTTGAACGGGTTTACGAGCCCTGCTAAAACATATAAAGCTGTCTGCCCACTACGCTGTCTCATACCATGACCGTGCTAGGACCGTGTCAGGCAAAAAATATTCTTTGTATGGAAAAGTATGAGACTCTGGCCCACTAGGCCGTTCCGTCACCGATTGGCAACGTCGCGTGCCGTGCTCGGAGCGGTAACAATTGTCGGCGAGAATATTTTGCCGGTGGCGGTACGCTCCGTGCCTACCACGCGACGTCGCGGGACCGATTCACGCGGTCGGTGCAATTTTGAGCATACGCAGCACTAAAACCGTTATGTACGGGTATGATACGCTGTTTATACGGTCTAGTGGGCATAGTAGTCCGTGCCATGCTCGTTTCCGTGCCTGATACGTTCATAGCACGGTGATGGTATGATACGATGTAGTGGGCAGACACCTTAACCCGTAACCCGGTCAGCTGCCGTCGTTCATGTCGCCGCTGGTGATCACGTCGCTGCGGCTGGAGGGCGCGTGCCCGCTGCTGAGCGCGCTGGCGGCGGGCGCGGCGGACGCGCGCGGCGCCTGGCTGCACGCGCGCCTGCGCTACGACGGCGGCGCCACCATCACCATACTCACGCAGATCAACCTCATGAAGCTGAAGGAGAAGAGTGAGTCGACTCACTCACGATACATACTTACCCTCACCGAATATATCACATCGCGTATGCTGTGAGAGACTGCCTCTCTTCTTCATACTTTCAGGGCGCACCGAGGCAGCGAATAGTAATTACGAAAAAATTGCGTTCGTTTGATCCCTTGCTGTGTTGTTATTACTAAAACTTTAATTATGCAATTGATATGTAAGGATATTTAAGGATTTATTCTATAAATCGTACACTTTAAAAACACGATTACTTGTAGTTTGTTCAATAGAAGAAAAAAAACCAAAATGATCTCTAAAAAACAAAATAAACCCTTAGTGCGGCGTAAATAATTCAAGGAAGTTCATCAGTTTTTTAATAATAACAAAACTATACGTTTTCTATAACGTATACACTTAACATTTTCAAAATGTGTATTTGTTTTAATAGTACGAAGGAAATACCTAAATTCACACGCGTTCCGTCCATACTAGCCATCCCCCTCCCCCCCTGCCCGCTTTCGTCCTACTAAAACCGATTATCGCCAAAAGTTCGGTGCCCTCTTAACAAAAACTTGTTGGCTTCATTTCATCTATTTCTGAATATACGAAATTAACTGCAATATATATTATAAAATGGCACTAATTAGTTAAGCTTCGATACCTTTCAATTCAATTCAATTTTCTTGGTAATGGCTTCAAAGCGTGCAAACTAATCTGTGCTCTAATTGAAACCATGTCGCGTAAAATGGAGAAGAAACGTGAGAAAAATGAGAACGTTGGTCAGTAAAATAAAATTATTAAGCTATATTAAATGATAACGTGTTCAATAACTTTACAAAAATTTAATATTTTTACAGATGTCACATTAGAAGAACAGTTGCTTGTAACGAATGAAAATATAGTTGAAAGTGAAGTTAATGTCTCGCGTCAAGGCTGCGTGTCTCCGGAACTAAAAGTAAGTCATAAAAGTTTATAAATATAAATTTCAGTAGAATTAAGTACTAACACTAGTAAATATCTATCATTCATATCATATTATAATTAATTAATTATTATGTACTCATTTTGTTATAATACTTTCTTAGATTTACGTGAAAATTTGAACTAAAATGAACACTAGTATTATGAATGGTTATAAATTTTGATTTCTATTCATCACCTATAATATAACGTTGTGCAGATACATACATACTAGCAGAACCCGCGGCTCGCGTTAAAACTATAAAAAAACGCTAAAAGGGTACATTTCATACAAACTTTCATCCCCTATAATACCCCCTTATAAGATGAATTTCGAAAAATGCTAAAACACGTATTTATTTAAATATACTGAAAAGTATTAATACTAAGTCTCAAGTAATTCTGATCATAAATATTTTTTAGGTAGTATTATAACGTGTTTTCCCGTGGGAATGATATAATCTACCGGGGTAAAAGGTAGCTTATATCACTCTTCAGCTCCGACTATATCTATACAAAAAATCACGCCAGTCCTTCACTCCGTTTCGACGTGAAAGAAGGACAAACAAACAAACACACACACTTTCACATTTTTAATATTAGTATGGATATATTATATTTTATGTTAATTTTGAACGTATATATAACAGAAAAGGAAACCGGCGATCTACGACTCGGAGGTGGAGGACTCGGCGGAGTCCAGCAGCGACGACGAGAGCCCGCCCGTGCAGCCCGTCGACAGCGCTGAGAACGTGCCGCTCACCGAGTCCGCGTATGACCTTATTTACTTTTATATTTTATTATATTCTTTGTATTTTTACACATCACTCCTACATATATTTATTAACTTATTTACTCTTAAATTCCACTTCGTTATGTTACATATCCCTTCTATATTATAGTAACAGTCTATCATAAGATGTTTGTTGTATCCTTATTAAATGTCATACTCATCCTCTTTGCATAGAACCTTCATGTAAGCATTTGTTCCATCCGTAGAAAATGTTATACTAATTATTACTTACAGGGCGATGTTCAGAATTTGCGTAAACGCTACTTTAATAGCTCTATCACTTACACAAAAATTATATTTTGTGATGTACATGTAAATATTTTATATTGTTTATATTATTTTATAATTTTGAGGCAATTGGTATTGCTTTTTGCCCGACTGCGGTCGAGTCCAAAAGAGGGTTATGTATTTGAACCTATATGTATGTATGCACGTAGCAAGACTCGCGGCAAGTGACATATGATTCCGACTGCATATTAGGCTATGATATTTTTACAACTTGTTTTCATCTTCTTAATTTGTTTTTTATGCTATATATAATATAGTCGTTTTTATTGTATATTAATTATTCCCAGGTCGTCCACAAATGAAGGTGTATCTTCTAAGAAGAAATTTTTGAGAATGGTTGACAAGATAGCTACCAATAAGTATTTCCAAACGGTAAATATAAATTGCTATTTTTTATAGAAACTCGTATGTTATAAGATAAAGATTAGATATGAGATTAAGATTATTAATGTATCTTTTTTTCAAAACTAGGTATTTATCCATAAAAATAAAAAATGAAAATCGTTCCCAATCAAAATATATCTGCATTAAGTACCTTTTACTATTTAAAAGTTTGTCAAAATAAATAATCCTATATAAATATCATAAATGCGAAAGTTTGGATGGGTGGACGTTTGTTACTCAATCACGCCACAACAGCTGATCGAACAAGATTTGGTGGACTATGGCCTGATCCTCCTTGTATTGAAAGGAAGCCCGTGTCCAGTAGTAGGACATTAAAAAAAAATTAAAAAAAACGTGTGTACTTATGTAAGCACGTAAGAAGTTATAGTTTTTCGGCGTAACAGAAAAAAAATATCTAAAGATTTCATCCCGTATAACAATAATAAAAAATAAAAAGTCTTAACTCTCTTTTTGTAAAAGCAACGCGGCTAACTTCGTCGTGTCGCTTTTTGGCTGTCGCTGTGTGCGCGCATCGTAAAAATTTTACTCTCATAATTTTTCCAAACGTGCCGAAAGAGGTATAATTTGAAAAGTGTACATGAAGAATAAGAGTGAGCGTCTCGCACTGGCAGGTGACGGACTACAAGTACGTGAAGCGCGCGATGGAGGGGCTGTCCAACACGGACATCAAGCTGCAGCTGGAGGTGCGCGCGCTGGCGGGCGCGCTCGCCGTCAACCTGCCGCCGCCGCCGCACGACCGCCTGTGGATCGGGTACGCGAGTATTAACCAGATGACACAGTATTGAACCATCTATTTTAATCACAACAATTATCCTATTACATTTTTCAACCTTAACAAAACCAAACATTTCCTCTTGTAAAAATTAGTAACTAAAGTTGGTATTCTCTCGTAGAATTAGTAACAAAAGAAAACAGTATAAATCAAATATATCTATAGACTATTTCGATGCATTTAATTACAATTTTAAGAATCTACATGAAGTATTTGAACAATAACTTTGTTACAGTATATATATATATATTCTAACTCGGTACAAAGAATATGATTTTATGTAAAACACTTCAAACCTATAGTCTTACCACTACCGTTTAGTGTCTTCACCGGGCCAGCAGCTATTGCAAATTGGCAATATATTTTTCGTGCTGACGCCTGAAGAAATGTCATGAAGTAACCTATTCACCGCCATTCCTTTTTGTAAAAGTTGAAAAGAGCGCCTCACATTAGAGTTGCCATAGGAAAAAAAACACCGTGGCGAAAACATATAAATATATATGTTGGGGTATTAACACTTAGCACCTCTAGTTCCATGGTAAGCTGAGACATTATTACAGTTTTAACCTAATATTGGTGTTCCAGGTTCTCGACCAACCCACAGTTAGTCCTGAAGGCGCGGCCCGCGTTCGGCGCCCGCACGCTGCGCTTCGCACACATAACCAATTGGATAGAACAGAAGCTCACGAAGGAGTTCGAGAAGGTCCTCGTCTTACCCAACATGGAGGACATCATCATAGACGTCCTCACACCCACGCCCGTTGAATTTGAGTAGCGGTGAGTTTATATATATGCATCTCGCTCTTATATGATTATAACGCAAGTGAGTGAGTGAGATGGATATATCAATGTTATAATTTGATGTGCTATTGCTATTTTTTTATATATTTCTAATACGACTTTTTAATATGAATTTGGGTCAATATTTAAAATGATTCGTATTAATTTCTATAGATTCTAAAGACTTCGATTTCCAAGGTATTTGAACATTTAGTTGCAATATATTTCTTATATATAATTTATATATGAATTAATAAAACTAACGATAACTTTTAAGTTATAGTTATCATATTTATTTTCAAAATTATTTTTTACCGTACAAATTTAACAGTTTTTGTATTATTTAAAATATCCTTGTTGTATATACATTTTTTTAAATATTAAAAAAACATCTCGAAATGTATGTACGTGAAGTAGACGGACTATATGCAGTTAGTTAAATTAAATGTCCATTTCAATAGATTTCTTAAACTATTTGCGTAACGCCTGTACGTCTTTTTATAACACTTAGATTTTATCGATATTGCGATGTTGAAAAAAAATTCAAACTGGACGTTTAGCATTTATTTTCAAAGTTACTATTCGATGTAATCGTTATTATTATAATGTATGATTAGAAAATTAAGTAATGAATTTATACCGTATAAAATAAACATCTATTCAAAGGGAGTCATAAAAACACATGTCTAACATACAAAATGATTACGAAGCTCAAAAGACTAATTGAAAATAATAAAAAGACAGTGTAAATAAATGTAGAAATATATAAATTTATATATTATATTATGTATATGTTATTGAAAATTTCCATATACATACGATTTAAAATTATTTATTTTTCAATACGCATATAGTATTGAATAATATATAATATAATATGTAACTGCTAATAGTAAAGTTATTTACAAAAATATTATATAGACGTAGTGTGTATTTAGATTTAAATTTATTATTTATAGTGGTTCAGTTGTTTTTGTTTTAGGAGATGATAATATGGATTTTTTTACTGAGTAAGGTTTTAGTAAGTATTAGTTAGATTGTATTTTTTTTTTTATTTGATTGTGGCAAATAATTCATGCCTTCAGACTACAAAATTCATAATAACTGTATTATAAAAAAAAAGAAACATAAATGTATATTGGCTTAAAGCAATTTGAAACGTTTTTAAGTATCATAATATTTCTTATGCCCTTTTACTTATGAATATATTTATTAATAAAATTGTGTTATTTGAGATTCGTACAAAAATACTTTCTCAGAGCTTCCTAGAGGTAAAAGTTTGACAATAATACCAAAATAAAATTATTAAAACTAAAACTTTTAAAATGTTTCAAACAGTAGAGGATATTTAATTCTGAGAATATATAACGTGTGTGGTAAATATTTTTAATGAGTTTTGAGCTTCACTGCCGGAAGAAATAGTGTTATAATATCAGGATGTTTTCTCACTGCCAAATCTTCAGCTTCAATACAACTTTTTCATGAATTAACATCGTAAAATGACATGAATAAGTGTTCCTATAGAGACCAAGCTTCATTCAACCATATGAGTAAAGAAAAGGAACAGAGACAAAGCTTCTAAGGAGCTGACAAAATGTTTACCTATTCTGGTAGGGTTGGCACAGCAGCATAAAATTAATTATTATATTCATTATATTCACAAAATTAAATATTATAATTTCCGAACTGGTAGTAGACTCATGACGTTCAGTAAAATATTGTAATAATTTAATGCTGAATAAAATATTTTGAATTTGAATTAAACAAAACGTTTATTAGCTTTTTATTAAAAAACTATGATAGAATTTCTTTTTACAAATTTCTTACTCTAAATATTATTATTTTTTTGTAATTTTTGTTTTTCAATAACTTGTTGTATCTTTTAATTTAACGGTAAATTCTAAATCTAATAAAGTTTTTTTAAATAATATAATAGAAAACACTTGTATGGCATATCAAATTTACATTCTTGCACACGCATTAAAACACTTTCAAACCGTAAAATGACAACAAAGACGACGTTTGGCTTCCAGCAGCGACGACTGAGCCCTGAGTTTGAGCACAGGCCGAGCCAGTATAAACCGGGTTTTTTCCTACGCGACGAAGCCGCGAGACATGACGCACAAACACACAAACACGCGCCTTAAGCTTGTATTAGTGTGCCTATCATAGCGCGCTTGTATGAAGCTTTGTCTCTGTTCCCTTTCTTTACTCATGTGATACAACCGCATAAAGATACATTTTACCGTGCACTATAACATGTCGCCTTGCGGGACAAAATATGCTAAGTTTTTTTATAGCTCGAGCTGTTGACAATTTTATGCCGAGCGCGTCACTCTCAAACGAACGCAAAAACCATCTCCTTATGTAGACACAGTTGTATGAAGCTTTGCCTATGTTACTCGTGTGTTAAAATTGCGTTCCTTTAAAAGCCTAGTATAAATGTGCTTGCTTCACCGTCGAATAGTAACTAACGCGTTCGCTAGCGAATATCGATGTTAATTAATGATAGAGTTCATAATTTGTCGAGCTGAATTTTTGCTATCACCCTAAATGTTTTAGAATAATAAGAGTGTAAAATAATTTCTATTGTAATCAATTTACTGCGGTAGTTATTATTAAACTTTTGAATTTTCTATTTACTATGATGCTAATATTAAATTAATTCTTCAAACTTTCTTGCCAATAGTCTACGTCTATGGTTAAAGTGTTGTGTCTATGGTTATTGAGTTAATTGTCTTTTATAATATAACATTAAAGAGGTTTTCTGTTAAATATAAATTTTGAATACTAAATTAAAAGTAAAAAGTCTCTTCTGCCCATGCCATTAATACAGACTTCGCACAATAAACCAAGAGTGTCATTAAACTGTTCATTTCATATAACTACTATGCCTATATACAGTGCCGGCTTTAGGGGGAGGGGGCGACCGGGGCGGCGGTCCGGGCGCCAGGTTATACAGGGCGCCGCGACGCCAGCTCAACTTAACCATTTAATTTGAATACTTATTTTTATCGATCTAAAGGAAAACTAGACTCAACGTTTTATCGTATCTCTCACTAAATAATTCTATATACACGTTTTTTTTAATTGTAATGAAATAAGTATACCTAAAAGAACGCCAAAGGCATGACTCGCCTGGGGCGCCCAGATGGCTAAGGCCGGTCCTGCCTATATAAATATTCTAACTATAGGTATAAGGTTTGTCTAAAGAAGTTTGTTCCAGTCTTCGAATTGCTTACTATATTTTTATAAATTTAAAGTGTGCTTTTAATTGAGAAAATTGGAGAACGACGCTAAAAATTAAAGGCTGAATGATCTTGCTCATGTGTTTGTATGAAATTCTTTTAAAATTAAAAAAAAAAAAGCGTAAGCCGATTCATTGTTTTGTAATTGTATAGATTTGAATAAATAAAATATACTGTGACTTCGTTAATATTTTACATACTTTGTATTGATGATAGGTCTGTTTTCTACAAAATATTTTTCTCGTAAATTGTTGGTCACAGTGTTTGATATTCGTTTTTATACAGTAGTGATTCTTTATGTTACATACTGTGAAACGATTTGTAATTATCTATACATATAATAAAATTGTAACTAAGCCGAATCTGTACATTAAATATTTTTTGGAAAATCTTATTGAAATAAACATTATTATCGATACAGAGGCCGAATCTATAGTTTTTAGAATTTTTGTCTGTCTGTCTGTTACCGCATCACAGAAAAACGACTGGAGGGATTTTGATGAAATTTGGTATGGTGATAGCTGGTTATCCGGGTCAACATATAGGATACTTTTTACCGCGGGAAAATGTCTCATTTCTGAGAAAAAATACAAAAACTGCAATGTAAGAGTATACTAATATGTAAAACCTAAGAATTTGGTTTTTGGTAACCTGAACGCGGGCGGAGCCGCGGGCAATGCTAGTTATAATATAAAAAAAATCTTCTTATACTTATTCTCATGGAAATTTGTGAATCTTGAAATTTTTATAAAAAATACATTAAAAATGTATACTCTGTTTCAAATATCAAATATGTATTTAACATATCACAAGGATATAAATTATTTACTATTTGAATATATTCCATCTTGAAAAACTCGTCCTACCAAATGGTTTAACTTTTAATCGCTTATTCTTGTGTTTAGCATATTATGAATATTTTAATAATAATAACTAAAATTTCTCTATTGTTTTTCGAAATATATTAAATTTACATTCTATTTAATTAAAATAATTTGTTTTAACAATGTTTTAAATCAAATTTATGAAATAATAATGTGTGAAGTGCGTTGACAGAATTGAGTGTGTTATTATGAATATATCGTAAGCATATTTTTGTTCCTTAATTTAATTAAAAGTAACAATATATTTATCGCGTATCTTCATGTACATTACGGGTAAGTTGTCGTATAGATAAGGTATGTATTTCTTTTGGTTTACATGTTTATGTAAATTCTCAATTGCATCACACAATATAGATTAAGATTTTGTATTATATTATTTTCTCTATCACATTTTTTTTACTAAACGTCAGTATTTTAGGCTAATATGCGCTTTAGAGTGATAAAAAGGCTCAATATTGTTTTATTCAAAACAATTTAAAATGAATATCTTAAATATTTAATGAATATCTTCATGAAGTGATTAAAAGAATATTTGAAAGCTCTTAGAGAGGGACAAATTTATCCTACAGAGCACTAGTTAACCTAATTTAATGATTTAATTTATATTATTTAATTTTAACAATAGAAAAAAAACTAAGTTTGTATTTACAAAATTTATGTATTTCATTGTAATAATTTATTCAACATTTTTTTGTAAACAATGAAAATATTTCGTACTGTACCAAAAATAAGTATTATATTTGTGGTATGTATATAGTTTATTATCAAATTATAAAGTGTTTATGTGATACTATATATAGTTAAGAGTTAAACCGTGCCGAGTAGTTTTTCTATGTGGTATCAGTTGTGATTTTGTCAATAAATAAAATGCTATATTTAATTTTGCTTTTTTATTTTTTTCACCTTTTTGGATATAAAATAAAAACTTTTTAACAAAAAAATAAAAACCGACTTCAAACAAAAGCACTACTCGTATTGCTTTGCCGTTGTAAATCAATCATCCATGAAAGAAATTTATTAGGGAGCCTACGTTATGTACTAAGAATACATTTCTTAACTTGATATAGTTATATATAAGAAAATGTTACAAAGTATATCAGAATTAAAGGCTAACTTAACTTGCAAATAATAATTGTTGTACTAAGAAAACATTTTGAATAAAACAGTTTTTTTTTCCTATTTTTAGCGGATTTATTATAAGTTTTAGTTCCCGACGTTTTGAATGCGTTACAGCAATCATGGCCACGTGAGATCATGGGACGGGAAACGTCGGGAACCAAAAATCAAAATAAACCGCTAAAATATCCGCATCGTTTCGTAACTATAATATAGCGTATAGTGATTAATCAACCTTATGAAAACTAGTTTCAGAGCGGCACAGTTCCAATATGAATACTGTACCATGGCACTCCCAGACTGCGATCATAGGATCTATAATGAGTCAAACTGTTCATTGTGACGCGCGCAGGGATGATTCTATGCCCTTTTACAATATATTTTTAGCACGATTATATATAAGAAAGTGTTACAAAGTATATCAGAATTGGCTAACTTAACTTGCAATAATAATGTACTAAAAAACCTTCATTTAGAATAAAAGCGGATTTAAAATAAAATTATATGAGTAAAATCCCTGTTTAAATTTAGATATCTTAAAAGAAAAGACGATAAATAAGATTTGAATAAAAATTATATTTTAAATTAAATTTTTAAAGATTCGTTAGTAGTTCAATATGAAGAAGCAGATGCACCCCCTGGAAATAAATAATACTGCCATCGCCCACGAATGTTTCCTTCACATAGAATGCAGTGTTCAAAAAATGTATCGTGTATTATAACAATAAATACAAAAATGACATTATATTATTTTAAAAATAATATTTTTTGTGGTGTGTGGTTTTTTATTTAATAATTTAATTAAATGTGTGGTGTAGGTTGGATCTAAAATAAAACAAGTCATAACAGTTCTGTTTACAGTATTTTATTGCCAACGGCTTTTATCATCGCTTTATCTCCTTATATATAATATTCGTATATACACTTAAAAGGCACTTAATATCTGCTGTATATCTATATCACATACAAAACATTTGTACAAAACTATATATTATTTATAAATATGTATAAAATTATATGTATATAATACTTGTTATTTAGAACATTTAAAGAACTGTCCGTTGGAAGCACTTACATACAATAGAAATAGAACATGAGTCTATATATATTTCAAATATATTAATAATATATTCTTTAATTTATAATAATTAATTATCATTTTATTATTAGAAAATTGTTAACAATTACTTTTATCATGTAGTTGTATAAATATAAGTTTTTAAAAGAAGGCTTATTAGTTATATTGGATATATCAACGATGTTAAATATTGAAATATGGAGAAATAAAAATGGAAGTTGATTTTTTAAAATTGTAACACCTATTATTTCTTAGATTTAAAATATGTACACAGTTGAGATCAACCTTATGTGCTAAATATAAAGATCTTGCAGATTTTGGCACTCTCGACCACATCCCTTATACTCTACAATGTGTATTGCGGTACCTACAACTATCTTTAACTTTATCATTTATATATCCTGTACATTAGTTGTATTTACTCTGTAATGGCAAGCAAGGTTGTACAGTTAACAATAAGGCGGGCGATACATTTCTGTGGTTTAATTAAAATTAATTTTAAATTACAGTTTCATTATAGACATATATTTTTTTAATTTAATTTTAATATTTTTTATTGTAAATATTATTGTTAGGACTTATACATAGTAATTATATGTCACATAGATTTTTTCACTCTGACTCCACCTTGCTGCTAACCATGGTTTTTAAAAATATACTCTACAATAAACATAATAAAATCACAATTTCTCAAATTATATATGAAAATTAATTATAATATTTACAATATACTGACTTTGCTGTTGTAGACAACTTTAGTATAACATTTATATAAACTTATGTTTTTTTAAGAACGACAACGCCCTTTTGCACCTTTCTTATAACTATTACATGTTATCGATGAATTTTATCCAATTCATTTCTTTAAGTTTTTGTTTCATCAAGATTTAATATTTTGTAATAGAGCTTATTAGTATCATTATAAGGAATCGAATATTTCAAAATACGAAATTTTATCAAGCAGTTTTAAAGAGAAAATATTTCATGCATTTGTTAGTTTGTAATATAATATATTACATTACATATTATGAGCATTAAAAATCCATGGTAAAGAGAGGCACTGAGTGTTTATGTATTCGAGCACACTTTAGACTTAAGATAAAACGTTTCATACGAATTTTTGACAACCCTTGCACTTAACAGTATTTTCCTTATCGTTCATTTTCGTCAATAGGTGATCGCCTACTGTATAGATTATTAGACTGTGCTAAGATTATGTTCGAAATTAGTCTGCCAACAAGTTCGGTGTGTCAATAGCGCAGTAAGCAATACTATGTGCCAGATCAGTCGGCCAACAAGTCCGGTGTCAGTACTGCAGCGCGCAGTGCGCGGAGCCGTCGGCGCGGCGGCGGCGCACGAGCGCGCGCCACTGCGCCAGGCGCGGCGCGCAGGCCAGCGCCAGGCGGCCGAGGCGGCGGCGCGCCATCAGCAGGAACTCGCCGGCGCCCGCCGCCGCGCCGCACGCCGCCGCCACCTGCACGTGCGCGTGCACGCCGCGCCGCGACCGACGCAACTCCACCGTGTTGTCGGTGTCGTATCTGTCAGAGTTGCCAGTGTCACATATAGGTCTACAGAAAAGTTCACGATGGCATAATTCGTTGGCTCACAATTACAATATTACAAGGTTCTATGTTACAATTTTATTACTTATTTAGTTATTAATGCTACAAGGTTCTATGTATCGTTCGCTACAGTTTTGCAAAAACAAACCACTAGATAGCGGCACTTTAACTACAAAATATTCAATTTTACATAGTTCTATGTTGTTTTTTTTACGATAACAAAATAACAAAGTTCTATGTAAAAATTACTAAACTTTATTAAAATTAACATAGAACCTTGTAATAGTAAGCCAACGGATTGTGTCTATCTCTTAAGGATAACTTACTATATCTATTTTAATTTAAAACGTACCGTACGTAGAATATATTGATAAATAAAAAAAATAAAAAAGTGTGTGTACTGCGTATGCAATTCACTCACGGTAGAAGTGAAACTCCTTTGGCAAATATCGCAATTAAAACCAATCAATAATTAAAAAAAACATGTTTGGCATATTACAATCATATATTTATAGAATATCATATATTTATAGAATATCATATACGGAAAGAATATAATACATATTATATAATTGTCAGACAATAACAAAAGTTACCATGGCAACATGGCTATGTATTCTATCTCATTTTCTCGCCGGCTTAATCTTCTATATTCATGTGTTTGTCTCTTTTTAGTGTCGCATTTCCGTTTTACGAGTTTCAAATCACAACAAATAATTTACAGATACACTAACGATTTAACAAAACTTTGCTGTAGTGCGTCTAGCTTAAATGCTACTACAGATCAATCTATCTGTATAGAAATATCCAAATCCGTTCAGCCATTTCCGTGTGAAGATATAAACAATAAACATACATAAAGGCAAACATATACATATACACAAACTTTTGTAATTAAATTAATTATCAAATATGACATTTATAATAATAATCAGAATATATTGTATTAATTATCAAAAATAAAATTCATATAATCTATCGATAAAATGAGATGTTTGTTTAATTTTTTGAAGTCGAAAGTAAAACTTTTCTCTAATAGATGTAAAACACGATAATTTTGCATATTATCAACCGTTTTCTTTTTTTAAATTATACACCTATCATTTTTTACGGCAATATTATAATCAAATAAATATAAATCAGCTTTAATTATAACTTACCTATAATAATCATCATCGTGCACTTCCGTGTCGCCGGGCGCGGTCGCGCGGATGAGCTTGGTGAGTCGCCACGTTAGCTGCGTGGTGTCCAACTCCTCGCGCTGTTCACTGCCAACAATTATACCGCGGGACACTGGAAATAAATTTAAATCTATTATTCTTCTCACTGATATTATACCTCATTATATGCTAAAAAAACGATTTAAAAAAACACCAAAAAGTAAAACAACTGATTGGTAGTTTATTTACTATAGATACCTAATCAGATATTTTCGAAGTCGGTGTGCTCTGATCTGAATCGGCTGGCATTCCTTATTTTCAAATTTAAATAGGACCAACTTTGAGGTATACCCTATCCAATAAAAACAGAATTATCGAAATGGGTCTGTAAAAAGTTATGTGTGGTCAAATAAAAAAAAAACAAAATATACTCCTCTTTTTTTTCGTCGGTTAAAAGGATTATAAGGACTTATGCTACTTTTATTTTAAAAAAGAATCAGGAGTCCACGCAATATAATTAAAACCCATAAAATTGTGAACAAAATTCCGCTTCCTATCGACGCACCCGAGCAAAGCAAGTACTAAGTCGCTAGTTTTCAATCTTTCTTGTATCTAAAAATCGTATACTGATCACAGGTTCTTTCTTAACGAATTCATATAATCAAACAAACGAAACAAAAGATTTTCTCACATAAATTGTCTACAATCTTGTCTCGCTTGACTGCTTAGTTTTATGTCTATTGTTAGCTATTAAAATGGTTATGCAAATAATAATATGATAAATATTTTTTTATGTGAGAAATTCATATAATTCAATTTACGTATCGCAGTGATCGCAACTATCGATCGATAACGAGTAGGTATTAATTATTAAAATGGCAGTACGAAGTAGAGTTTCAAAGTAATGCACAAAAGGACTGACATCATTCCTACAGCAAAAACTTAGCCCCGATACAGTTTCGTTATCTTAAGTAATAACTGCCGCCCGCTATTGTCCGAGAGCTTTTTTTGCTTATCCATAAGCGAACGTAGGTAGATAGATAGCTAGCTTTTTTCTTTTCTTGTCTTTGTTTGAGAGAGATAAGTGAATAGTTGTAAAAGTAAACGGTCATCAACCCCACTTTGAGGATAATTATAGAGGAGGCTTTTAACTAACAAGTCAAATGCCTTCATTTCTCTATACAGAATTTTATCATATTTTTACTGGATATTTTTAGTTTTTGCTAAATTACCTTGAATATCCACTCATTATATAACAAACATGTTATATTGACATTTAAATATTTCTAACTCGATTTTATAATATAAAAAATAATCATGACACAGCACTAGGTTCTCTGTATTAATTATGTAACGTGATCATTAAATGTTAATAATCTATACATATAATAAAATTCTAACTGAGTCGAATCTGTACATTAAATATTTTTTGGAAAATCTTATTGAAATAGTCATTATTATCGATACAGAAGCCAAATCTATAGTTTTTAGAATTTTTGTCTGTCTGTCTGTCTGTCTGTCTGTTACCGCATCACGGAAACACCACTGGAGGGATTTTGATGAAATTCGGTATGGTGATAGCTGGTTATCTGGGTCAACATATAGGATACTTTTTACCGCAGGAAAATATTTCATTTCTAAGAAAAAATACAAAAACTGTAATGTAAGACTATACTAATATGTAAAACCTAAGTATTTAGTTTTTGGTCATCTGAACGCGGGCGCAGCCGCGGGCAATGCTAGTAATAATATATAATTAACATGTAGGATGCTGGATGTTACACAAAATCTCGACGGTACATAGTCTAGTCGAATAATAACGACCGCCCACGGCATGGAGCTATGACATAACTTATCCATTATAATCTTTGAAACCCGTAGGAGGGAAAAATAAGCACATTTACTCCCCGTCGCACGCGTGCCTTCATACTAGTTTATCCTGTATATGTCACTTTGCTTATTATGGACGTAAATTAAATCTAAGTAGTCATCCCATGCTATAGCTGCATATGTAACAGCTTCCGTAAATCAAGACCGGTACGGGTTGCATTTTAATCTGCGTCCGTTCTAAGAAGGTGGACGACAAAGTTGGAGTCGCTCGTATTTTTTTTTCCTTTAAAGAATACTTCAGACTAAGCGAATGCGAATATTTTAATAAGCTGTCCAAGACAAAACATTGTATGACAGAAAATTATATTTTTAATTTCATAAAAGTTAATTCGAGACGCAAGAAATGACGATTATGGCGACAAATTGCAGTGCGGTCGGCGTAGCGCGGGGTTTATTAACATTCAGTAGGGCGCGCCAACACTTCTGGTTCCGAGCTCGCTCATTACCACGGTAGTGTAATAGCCACCATAATAACCAGTTAATTTTTAAGAAAAATAAATTGTAATACTACTAAAACTACGTTTTACTCACATTAGAAGTGCATATCTTTTATTAACAATACTTTTATTTTTTTGTAAATAATTTCCTTGTTTTGTATTATTTGAACGTTTGTTTGTATTATACATATACTAGCAACTCACCCTCGCCCCACTCGGGTTCGTCCCTACTTACGTTATAACGTTTAGTTTTAACGTATAGATTTCTCAGAGATGAGATATTTTCCCGCAATAAAAAGTATCCTATATGTTGATCCGGATAACCAGTTATCATCATACTAAATTTCATCAAAATCCCTCCAGTGATTTTTCCGTGATGCGGTACCAATCAGACAAAAACTCTAATAACTATAGATTCGGCCTCTGTATCGATAATATTGTTTTTCAAAAAATATTTAATGTATAGATTCGGCTTAGTTACAATTTTATTATATGTATAGATTTACATAAGATATATGTCTATGTGAACTTACCCAGGTCACTGGTACAGAAGGCCAATTCTAATTCAGATTCAGAGCAAGGCCGACAGTCCGCGGTCGCAGGATCGTAGTGTCGTCTGACTAATGGCCTTGCTTCGTATTTGAATGTGGCTACTCGTTTCTTTGGTCCTTCCTCTGGCTCAGCCTCTACATACAACGCGGCTTGTCCGTGCCGGCTGCGGAAACATCGCAGCTCGCGGACATCGCCGTCATCAGGCGCGTAAAGAGGTACTAGTCTTCGAGCGCCTTCTACAAAAATACGTGCAGGAAAACGCTCAGCAGCTTCTGTAAAAAATAATAATATATCTAATAAAAGTTTTTTTTTAATTTTCGAAGTTTTATTTGAATGTTTTAATTATTACAAACGCATACCCATAAAATTATATTTTAATGTGGAAAAAAAAGATATCCATAATGGCACAGGAGTAGGTAAGTATCTTACAATATTTTTTACAATTTGATAACATTTAATTTGTGTTGTTAATATTGTTGTCATCTTAAAGTTATGAGAAAATGTTTATAAATAATTAATTATATTTAGTGTTACTATATTTATACAATTAAAAATATATGTATTACTTTCATTTCATTTGACTATTATTATGATCTACAGTAAGAACCAAATGCATTAGCAAGCAAAAAAAAATGATTTATTGTCTAAATAGTAAGTATGTTAACGCAAGCTAAGCCAAAAGTGCAGTTAGTTACCTGTTTCATTTAGCTGTAATGTATGGAAAAGGTCAGGTGGGTCAGGTCGGCGTATAACCCGTACGCAGACCTTAAAGTCGCGTTCGTCAGCGGGCAGTGGAGGCTTAAAAAGCAGTCGTAGCGCTCCCCGCGGGTACAGCCACGACACGCTGCCCTCCCGACAGCGGAGGTACACTGGCGTCACACCTCTCTCCGAATTCGATGTCAACCCACTAAACAACCAAAATAATTCTTTAATGTTCTGTTAAATTCAAATATGCTTATTATTTATTAAGTATTATTATATAGATTAACTTAAAATGAATTTGTGCTTTAGTAAATTTCTTAGTAGCGATTTCTTTTTTTTTAATTATTAGGTACTATATTTTATGTTACTGTAATGTATGATTTATTAAAAAAATAATGACATCGTGTAGATACGTAATCACTAATCTGTTATAAAAGAAACCAATTTTTGTCTTGCATTTTATCTCTAGTATAAAAGTAATATTTCACCAATTCTACTACTATAAATATAGTAGGAATGTCAGTCAAAATAAAACTTGATAAAAAATAATATTTTTAATAAGAGCAGGTATTTATTCATCTTAAAAGGATAACACAATATGTGTACGGTGCAACCGTACATATTGTAATTCATCATTTTTTCTCATGACGCGTCATTTATTCCATTATATATTGGTTATTATTCTGAAAGTTAGGCTAGTTCGCATTCGGCAAGCAAAAAGCCCGGGCGTGCTCACATCATATCATATCATTTTAATCATTTTAATATAGCAGTTTATTCCTAATAAATCAAGCAATTCAAAAATTCTCAGTTGACTCTATCAATTTACATCTATCAACAACCCCCACAATATGTATTTACGCAACATTATATGTATACATCCTACAACATCACGCTAACTTCAAAAATAAAGACAAAATTCAAAATGAGATCTTTACATCAAATAAAAAAGTAATGGTGTAAGTTCGTAGACTCAGTACCGAAATAATAATAGCACCTATCTAGATAGAAAGTGCACCACAAGAAAAGGATAGCGGTTCTTGATCAAGGTGTCATTTCTTGTTCATATCTCGAAAGTGCTCCTACAAAATTGCCTACGGCCTAACTTTGCATCTACAAAGTGGCACGTAGGCAAAACTTCTGGAGTAACACCCACACCCTACCCACGGGGAAACTTAACATAAAACTGAAATATATGACTTAGGCCACGCCATAAAAGATAACATGCGAGACAGTACATGCCCCGATGCGACAGTAATAAAAATAACAAGGCTTTCATGTAAAATGTATTGTATGTGTGGCCATCTGACGCTTCTTTATTAGTCATATTAAAGTGCCTCAGAAAGTCGGTTACGATTTACGCGCCATTGTAGACGGACGCCGTAAAAATATTCAAAATTACAGGATAAAAATGATAATTCCTTAAACATTATTGTATAGAGATTAACCTTTTTCGTTTAAAAACAGTAAAAAAAAAATATATTTTTGCTTACGTGTATTATATGATCATCAATAAATTTCAGTTTTTTTTTTGTTTAAGTAAAGCTATTTATAAAATGTTCTTCGTTTAACATACAAGTCACATCCTTAATACTTTCACGTCATCGCAGGGCTTCCTTAATCCTACCTAATGGGCTGAATCTTGAAATATGTGCGTGTATTATGGACAGGCATAAAAACTGGTCCCTGGTAAAGATAGAGCTTCGCATACGATTCCTCTGTAAAGATTCTCAAATATGGACAAGTATATACATAAATTTATAGTATTAAAGCTATTGTACTTGGATAGTAAATTCTAAAATATTTTATTCTCTTTTTATATGTAACGTACCCACATTACGTAAGATTATTAAAAAAACTTGAGTGAAATGTAAATAATTAATAAATAATTCTAAAAGGTAAAATTAAATTCATTTGTATGTTTTAATAAGCTCAAACTCCCATCTATACTAATATTTTACAGAAGTAGAGTTTTAGTTTGTGAGGTGTAATCTTTGGATCTACCGAACCGATTTAGATGAAATTTGGTAAGAAGATAGTTTGAGACCCTGGGAAGGACATAGGATACTTTTTATCCCAGAAATCATCCCTTAAGGGGGTGAAAATGGAGATGAAAGTTTGTATTGGGAAGCAAGCTAGGAACGAACCCGAGCGGAGCGAGGGTGAGTCGCTAGTGTAAAATATAAAAATTAAAAAAAAGTATTAATAAATTAAATAGTACAAATAATGTTCATAAATGTGCGTTTCACCGCAGTTTGAGCGTCTCAAACGTAGACTACAAGGATTTCCAGAGGTAAACAACCTACTAGAAAATGTAACCGGGACTATCGAGTATTTAATCTAGTTCCTTGACCAATTGCAAAACAGATTATAAATAACTATTAACTACGTACTAGGACGTGATATACCATTACAATAATATTGCTTCCTATTGCCTTATAATATTATGGTATATGTTATGGTCCGTAATGACTTTTTAATATAACATTTTTATAGTTTTTTTATTACATATTTTAATTATGTATCAGTAAATTATTGAAGTTTATGCATAGAATCTATACATATAATAAAATAAAAATGTAACTAAGCCGAATCTGTACATTAAATATTTTTTGGAAAATCTTCTTGAAATAGACATTATTATGGATACAGAGGCCGAATCTATAGTTTTTAGAATTTTTGTCTGTCTGTCTGTCTGTTACCGCATCACAGAAAAACCACTGGAGGGATTTTGATGAAATTTGGTATGATTGTAGCTGGTTATCCGGGTCAAAATATAAAGTACTTTTTACCGCAGAATAATATCTCATTTCTGAGAAAAAATACAAAAACTGCAATGTAAGAGTATACTAATATGTAAAACCTAAGAATTTGGTTTTTGGTCTTCTGACCGCGGGCGGAGCCGCGGGCAATGCTAGTCTTATATATAAAAATCAAAGTGAATGGCGACTAAACCGTCGTTCACCCCTGCCTTCAACATTGCTTTATCATCACGTTAAAACAACACACGTAAAAACTATGCTGCATAAAAACCACATAAACTTTTTGTTTTCAAACATAGAAACAAAAAATCCATGGAGGGGTGTTAACTGCCTCGGGTTGTTCCGCGTCTAGTGGTCACATTTTTTGTAATCTCTACAAGCACGCTCGGAATTTTAAATCTTTTGCCCATATACATATTTATATCCCTCAAATCTCTATTTATTTTTAAAATGGACGTTTTTAGCGATAATGGCCTGTGCTTTTGTTTAAAAATGTAGATACCAAAACTTGTATGATGAGGTCGTTGAACAATATGAGAGATTCTATATAGAAACTAGTTTATAGAACGGTTACAAGAATTGTATTAAAAAAAAAACAAAAGAATGATCAAGATATTTAATATATTCAAAATAATTTATTTTTATAATCATAATGACACACAATAAGAAAGAGAATATAAAAAATCCTTTGGCCATTACTGACAAATGGCGTGGCGCCGATAACGCTTCAATACCTTATTGCACTTTAATGTCTCACGAAGTCATATCGGCTATTAGAGGAAAACGATGACTTATTACCAACAAAATTACTTAAATAATCGTATCTTATATTGATAAAGTCATAAACATAATATATCTACTCGTATTACATTTATATAATAGTAAATTTACTACTTAAGAAAACTTAGCACTTAGACAATAATATTTTTTTTAATAAAAATCGAAGCAACAAACTGTTTTTACAACTAATTGTCAGGTTTTATACCATCTTTAAATATTTTTGTTGCTTCACAACGAGCCTAGGTGTTATTACAATCAATAAATTCAAACTTTTAACGTATTAGTGATAAAATACGAAATATCGGTATGATTGGTAGAACACAAAGATTCTCCTATCGCCATAATAAACATTTTAGAGAATTCCGACCAATTAACGAAATGAAATATGATTATTTTATATATCTATTATTATCTTTGTAATTTAAGTTTAGATATACCAAAGGCTTCAAATAAAATCGATTTTTCAAATCAATTATTTATTTACATTATTAATTAATAATTATTATTAAAAATCGATTGCGGTTTACTTTATACAGTTCATAAAACGAACTAAATTGATTCATTTTATTGAAAAAGAAATCAAACTCGTTTATAAGCTTTCGAAATATTACAACAAAGTGTGAGTTAGAAGAAAAGAAGAGAGATCTAGAGAAAGTTCATTAATGTATTACAAAAAAGTCCCATAAAGCTTTATCATAGTTACAACAGTCACGCTAGAATTATAAAATAAATGTATATCTTTTCTACGAAGACTTTTTATTTATTCTGCCCAAACCTGACGCGAGATAACAATGAGTCGTACGTTCAACCTTGATCTAACTTAGGGATGTGTATCACCTGTTGTTTTTATTTGACACAAACAATATTAATAGCTATTTCTTCAATCTACTCGTTAATCAATAAACAATACTTATTCTGTTTTATTTAGTATACTAAGAAAAAAAATTGTACTTATAAGTTATATTTTAGGTATCTATCTATTAATACATATAATACAACCTTAAATTAAACGGGAAATCTACGAAAATATAATCATATATGATTTTAAAAGAAGCCAATGAGTATTTTATACATAGGTACATAAAATAGTTTCATCAAACCTGGCAACCCTAAATAAGACACGCGAGTTGCGCCCGCGCTCTGCCCACGCGCCAAGCCGGTAGCGTATTACCATACTCGATATCATCATGTCGTTCAACAATAACGCCTAGAATACGCCACGTTTCTGGCACACACTACATCCAGTCTAGTTGTAAAAGTAGGAATCTTTATCAAGTAATACAATAAGTATCTACGTTTAACTTAAGTACCTGTTTAATTCTTTCTCGATTTCGAGGTAAAGTTGACTTAATTTTAAACTCTCTCAGTATCACGCTTAAGATTCCTTGTGTTTGTTTCAGTCAGGTCAAAATGACACAGTCTGGAAAAACTGCCGTCTTGCAAATGTAGTACCTAGTGCATACCTCATGAGTCACTTGGCGCATGTAAAAAAACTTACAGCTAAAACTAATTCATAACGTACTGAACATTAGTGAATAAACAGACAATTCTAATACTCGGCTCCAGGCTGCAGCGTAAACAGAGCGAGATAAAATCTGCTTAGTCGAAGCGGATATGGTTATACATATTGTGGCGATACAATTTCAAGTCTCTTGTCCCCGCC